ATTTGGAAAGATGCGATTATAACTTCCAGTGTAGTTCCTGACACTGGGCTCGCCGACCGACTGTGATCAAATCCACTGAAATGAAGACTCTATACATGTGTGCTGTTTGGAATCATCTTGAATTTGGTGCCTCACATCTTCTAATCGCATGAACCCAGTGTGATTGGAGTTGTGTGTCAGTGAGGAAATGATGAAAACTGAGTTGTGGATGTAATCGTTGATTAGCTGGACATAACTGAACACTACAATGACATGTAGGTGTAGAAAACTAGGACATTTTTAAATTTTTCCTAGATTTTGTCAGACTTACTACAGTGAACAGAGCCCATCAGAAGCTGTCATTGCATGTTTCCAAACGTCTTTCTGGCTTGTGACTTAATCTTGAGTAGAGCCTACTGGGTAAAAAATTTTAACATTTGTAATGAAATCTTAAATATAATGATTTTTGTTCAGTGTTTTAGAAAATGAAAAATTCATAATTCAAAATCACATTATATCCTAGATAGATAGACAAGTTTAATAAGTGGATTTTTCTCTTGAACAGAAAGTCAAGGAGTGACTCCTGGAACTCGCTGCAAGAACGCCGGCTGTAAAACTGTGAGTATTTGATCATAATGTGTATTTCAATAAGACATACATTTAACCTATGTATTTACTGCTATTGGGATTTCTATACACAACTACTATAAACAAAGATTTTTTTTTTGGTAAATTTTTAATACTTTAGAAAATGAATGGATTTTATAGTAAATATGACAAATCTCGAAATCATGAAGTGATAAAAGTTCAAATTTTTAAATCCACATCAAATGGAGGAATGTTTTAATAATGTTTATCAATAGCACCATCTAGTGGAGCAACAGGTAACAACACTGTATTTTTTTCAGATTCAGATTGTTCAGATTGTACACTGTATTTTTGTGAACATGCCTTTGTTATTTTTTTTATTTTAAATTTTTACTAAAATATTGACTCTTAGTTGCAGTTCATTAGATATCATTGGTCAGTATAGTTACTTGAATATTTCAGCCTTTTGAAACAACAGTTCATGTATTTTAATTTTTGTTTGTTATTATTAGTTATTTCCTAGTTATTATTATTGTTAGGTTTTTTTTTTGTCCTCAGTTATTCGACTGCATCCTTGCAACAGTTCACTACATTAAAGATGCACTGTGTAACTTTTTATTTATTTATTTATTTATTTATTTTCATTGTAGGTCTACCAAAACACCGACACGGAAAAAGAGACGTGCACGTACCATCCGGGCGGCCCTGTTTTTCACGAAGGGTAAGAACCAATTAAACAAGTTCTGAATCAACTTTACACAAAAAAACATCAAAGTGCTGTAATTAGACTCATTTACATAAACCTTTAAAGTTCTAATTAAGAAGAACAAACAAAGCAGAAGTACAAACACAAGGTCTGGTCTAAAAACAAGGACAAAAGAAGAAATTATAAGATGATTAAAGATGATACGGCTGAGCTGCTCTCAAGTTAAAATATAAATAAAGTTTGTTTTTTCATATATTTATTTGCAGATTAGAAAGAAATCAAGGTTAAGTTAAGTAAGTAGTAGTGGTACTATAAGCAGTAGCTGCAATGATAGTAGTAGTAACAGTAGTAGTAGCAGTAGTAGTAGTGATAGGAGTAGTAGCTGCAAGAGTGGTAGTAGTTTGTGAGTGGATTGGGCTGCTAAGTATTTGTTTTATATTCATTATTTATTGTTTCTTATGAATGTTGTTGATGTTTTTGCAGGTACAAATACTGGAGCTGCTGCTGTATCAAAACTCTGGACTTTAACGCTTTTCTGGATCAAAAAGGATGCTCCACCGGGAAGCACTGCTGGGTCCGGAAACAGGTGAGAAAGTACACTGTTACACCAGGAGGGGGCGCTGTGCTGGAGCTGAATACATAGACTGCATATAAAATGGACAGAGCTAACCTTTTGCCAGTAGGAAGTGAGTATGGGTGCACTTCAGTCTCCATCGACTTGAGTTAACACCTACATTTGACCTTTAGTTCAGTAGAGATTGGCAATTCCAGGGCTGAAATCACAATGACATCACAAGGTGGAACAGTGTTTACAGTTTGAGAGAAGAACTCAGTCTAAATATGCAGGTTTGTGTGTTAAACATGTGTGAATGAAACAAAATACAAGTCCAGGTCTGTTTGTGATGAGGAAACAACATTATAACAGACAATAAATAATGCAATATGTGCCCTTTAATACATTTTCTGCCGGATCTTTTTTCTCTCTCCAGGATAAGAAGAAGGTGGCATGCCGACACGACTGGCACCAGACCGCAAACACTGTGGTGGTGACGATTTACGCCAAGAACGCCCACCCCAAGTTTAGCACCATAGAAGCCAACAGCACTGTGGTGAGTCAACCATGTTTGTACTGGACTTATATACTGATTATACAGGCCATATTTGTACTGGACTAATGCCATATTCTATTGAATGTGGGTAGTGGATAAATTCAAGTCAGTTTTCCCAACATCCGTTGTAATTGCGTTCCATTGCAACAGTCGTGGAAAATATGGATGCTTGAGAAAGTTTAATGTCCAGCCGACTCGGTCTGCACCAAACCGAGTTTATGTTTTGGAACCCAGATTTGACTGGCTGTTCCACTGCACTTTCTCGAGGTGGAAGTTGGTTTTCCCCAAGTACCGAGCACAATAGAATGTGGAGTAATGTTTGTACTGGACTCATGTATGTGACTATAGAAGCTAACAGCACTGTGGTGACTCGGCCATGTTTGTACTGGATTGATATACTGACTATAGAAGCCATGTTTGTACTTTATTTATTTATTTATTTGATTGGGACAGAGCATGTTACAAACATGACAACAACATGAATGTAAACACACCAGATTGTAGCCTAAGACTAATTTCCATCCGTTGTCCCAAGAGGCTGTCATTGCACAGTCCAAAATATTACACAGTCCAGTCATTGTGCAATTCCCATTATTTCTGGACTTAGGTACTCGACCATAGAGGACAACAGCACTTTAATCTTGTGATCTTGGGCAAATATGTTTTTAATTAGTTTCTTTCTCTTTGTTCTTTAGCTCTTCTGTCAAATCCAGTTTGAAAATGACAAGGTTTTCAAGCGAGAGTTTCACCTGTGGGGGGTAAGTACAGAAACGTGTGTGTGTGTGTGTGTGTGTAATGGAAAAACACATTCTTCATTAAACACATCAGATTCCATGCAGCTCTGTGCACTGTTATAACTGTCACTTTTAATGCACTTGTATCTGACCTTGGCATTTCTCTGTATAAAAGTCTAGATCAGAGCGCCCCCCTCTGGACATCACAGAAAGACTCTTGTTCCTTCTGTGTTGTTTCCTTTTGCAAAGCACTAAAATCCACCACAAAAACTGCTCTTTAACTCAGACCTTCATTTCATTTTCATTCAACAAATTACAAATGACCCTGCAACTTTCAGTGTCACATACAAGATCAGAAGTTAGTTTTGTATCAATTATAATTTGCATAATTTTAATTTGGATAAGAAATCCCCCAGTTATAAGGTGACAAGGTTTTCATCTGATGTTTTTAGGAACCCACAGCACAAATCACCAATCTAAACTGCCTAATCTTACCTGTCTAGATGACTAATAAACAGCACAAGATCAAATAAAGCAGTGAATGTGTTGCCTCTCATTGCCTTGTACTTCTTGTGCTGCCCTCAGGTGGTGGATGTGAAGCAGAGCGGCGTAAACTATGTCCCGTCCAAAGTGGAGATCGTGATGAGGAAATCCGACCCGGTGTCTTGGGGAAAACTGGAGGATCCAAACTACAAACCAGAACCAGAACCAGAAGAACTGGACCTGGAGCAGGAGCAGGATCAGCCCGACTGGGACATAGAAGATGACGACATCAGCGACTCAGACGAGGAGTGGGGTGAGTGCTCACAAACAAACAAACAAACAACAAACAAACAAACAAACAGTTACTCTTATATATAATATTCCTTATTATCCAAATGAATCAGACGATATTATGACAATGTACCAGAAATGTGCTTAAACTCTGACTGGAGAGATGGATGAAGGAAGAGACAGATGGATAGATAGATCAACAGATGGATGGATGGATAGATGGATGGATAAATAGATAAATAGACAGATAGATGGATAGATAGATGCAGGATAGATGGACAGATGGAATGGATGGATAGATAGATTGATTCATAGAAAAATAGATAGATGGATCGATGGATGGATGTTTGGATAGATGGATGGATAGATAGATAGACAGATCTATAGATTCGTAGATAGATAGACAGATAGAGGGATAGATGGATAGATGGATAGATGGGTGGATAGAAAAATAGATAGATGGACGGATGGATGATAAATAGATAAATAGACAGATAGATGCATAGATAGATGGATAGATGGATGGATAGATAGATAGATAGATCGATAGATTCATAGATAGATAGACAGATAGAGGGATAAGTGGATAGATGGACAGATAGACAGATAGATAGATAGATAGATAGATAGATAGATAGATAGATAGATAGATAGATAGATAGATAGACAGATAGATAGATAGATAGATAGATAGATAGGATAGGATAGGATAGATGGATAGATAGGATAGATGGATAGACAGACAGATGGATAGATAGATAGATGGATGGATGGACAGATAGATAGATTCATAGATAGATAGACAGATAGAGGGATAGATAGAGGGATAGATGGATGGATAGATGGACACATGGAATGGATGGATAGACAGATAGATTCATAGAAAAATAGATGGATAGATAGACAGATAGATGGACAGATGGATAGATGGATGGATGGATAGACAGATAGATTCATAGAAAAATAGATTGATAGACAGATAGATGGATAGATGGATGGATGGATGGATAGACAGATAGATAGATTCATAGAAAAATAGATGGATAGATAGACAGATAGATGGACAGATGGATAAATGGATAAATGGATGGATGGATGGACAGATATATAGATTCATAGAAAAATAGATGGATAGATAGACAGATAGATGGACAGATGGATAAATGGATAGTTGGACAGATGGGCAGATTTTTCATCATAAGAAACTAAGAGCACTGTGGTAAGTCGGCCATGTTTCTACTGTACTTATATATGAGACTTCTCTTTGTTTTTTAGCTCTTCTGTCAAATCCAGATTGAAAATGACCAAATTTTCCATATTCTCATTTTTATCTGTTTTTTCCATTTGTGTTTTGTCTGTTTGAACTGTGTGAAATGTCTTTGACTGTCAAGAAAAGCCCTGTACATGTGTTATGTATTATTAATATTATTTTAGTTCAATATTTTCCCATATTTTTCTCATCTCTAGGCAGCGACTCCAAAAAGGACGAGAACAAAGTCGAGGAGCCTCCTGTGAAGAAGAGCGAGGAGGAGGACCTGAGGGAGAAGCTGGAGGAGATGCAGAGGCTCCAGATGGCCCAGGTCCAGGCCGACATGAAGAAAGCGATGGAGAAGAGGAAGAGAGACGAAGAGGAGAGAGAGAAGCAGAGACAGATCGATGCGCAAGAGGGATACGATGACATGCCCGACCTGGAAGACTAGACCTGGTCATTTGTGTTCACGCGATTCAGCTTCAGCATTTGTGGATCATAAGTTTGGAGATTTCTTCCCCAAAACTGTGAATATCTGGTTTTAGATTCTTGAATGTGATGATGTTGTACAAGGGCAGAGACAGATTTCAAATGGTGGAAGTACAAAAGTAAAAGTACAATTCTTAAGTACAAATTTTAGATATCTCTACATTTCCAGTGGATACTTTTTACTTTTACTTCACTACATTTGAGAACATGTATCTGTACTTTCTACTCCTTTACATTTTAAATCTGGACTGAAAAGTAAAAAGTACTTTTCTTTACGGTGTGAGACCTGCTGAAATGGCTGAGACTTATTTTTAGCACATTTAATTTAAGTTAACGTTCCAATTTTGAAAAAAACAAATACACAGAAACATAAAAACAGCTAGAAATATTAAGAAATCACTCAAATCACTTAAAATCAGCCAAATTCTTCATCAAAATCACTTTAATTTTTCAACTTTCATCTTATTTATTTATCAAAAATATGCAAATACTTTTTCATTTTACTCTTAAATAACATTTTTAAACTGGTACTTTAATACTTTTAGTATATTTTCTCCTGTGATACTTTTACTTTTACTTGAGTAACTTTTTGCCTCTGTATCTGTACTTTTACTTAAGTAGCAAAATTGAGTACTTCATCCACCACTGCAGATTTCCTTATTCATTACACTAAATGTTCATAAGAAATATATATGTATTTTTAGCCTTGCATCTTGTTATAACATTGTCCCCTCATCTAAAACATGCCTGAAGAGGTTTTAGATGTCATCCATGCATTTTTGAGTAATTTAGTGATCTCTCCTATGCCCTATTCACATTCTCCCTATAGAGATTCTCTTGTACGACAATTCAAAATATACAAATATACATACACATGATACAAAACTGTACACAGCAACTTTACAAACCTGATGTGATGTGCCATAGTTTAATTTGTGAGATGCATGTGGAATGAAAGGGGAGTGACTTAGTGCAGGGAGCAAAAAAAAAGTTATGTGTTAGAAGTTAAAGGGCCCATCTCATGCAAAATCAACTGTTCAGAGTTTTCTACCTTCTAAGAGTGATGTGTGGGCCTTGTATATGTCGCCAAAGTGGTTTTTAGATTGATTCAGAGTTTGTTTTTGGTTTTTTTTAACAAATTGCAGCTATTTCTGTAGTATTTCTGGCACCCTCCCATGTGACAATGAACTAAAGCCTGCTACAACAATGACATGGCCAGCTACACCTATGACGCATCTGACGTAGCAGAAAGCGCTTCGCACCCTAAACAAAAGTGACAGCATAAGCTCATTGTTCTACACTGCAGTGTACACGATATAATAAGTTAATCTTCTAGTGGTTATTAATACTTTACCAATCAGTAATGTTCAGCTGATGTCAACGCGGTGCTTGAGCTTCGTGCACCTCAAAGTCCTCGTCTGATTCATGTGGCTGAACGAGCTGTATCGCCATGATGAATAAAAGTTTATTCCTACCACTATCAGGGCACACATCTGTCTCCCCCTCCCTCCCTGAGATGGGCGGAGGAAGGGCGGCTCACTCAGAGACTACGTCATGTTTGGAGGGCAGAGCCTGTGTTTTCTCAGGACGGGCGGGGGGATGAGCAATAGTCGGACTTTGATAGTTCCTGGTCTGTGATGCCTCCAAGAAATCAGTAAGATTTCATAACTATTGTGTAATGGATGTTCCAAAACCCAAATTGTGCTTGTTTATGTGCAGAAGATACAATGTGAAAAGAGTTATTTTGCATGAGATGGGCCCTTTAAAGCTGCACTGCATAACTTTTCAGGTTGGAAGTCGGCTACCATGGAGATACTATGGTTTTGCCTGTAATGTCCCACAATATGGTATTAAACTTATATAAGATACATTTGTTAAATTATTGGGTGTTTTTATAGCTCAAAAGTACCTAAAAACATGTATTCTGACTGTGACGGTCACCTCTCCACAGATCTCACTTGTAAAATGGTCTGGTGAAGTCTCCAGCTTGATTCTATGGAGACGTCAAAGATGCCATACTATTTTGCCAAGTTGCCATACCCTGGAAAGCAGCAACATCTCCATGGAGACAAGTAACTAGCCATCCCTCCACCAGAAAAGTTGTGCAATGCACCTTTAAGAACCCAGAGAAGTGAAACACTCCCTCTTTAAAGGATAATTCACAAATGTTGAACCTGATCATTTCTATTAGTGATTAGACCCAAGACCTCACTGTACTACAACAAAAATCTGCATTTGAGCAATATTTATTTTAGCTGTTCCCATCTGTATTAAATATGACCTATGTTCTGTTGGCCCTCCATCCATCTTTAAATTCTACATTTGAACAGTTTGTGGTTTACAAGACAAAGGCAAGAATACCTCAGTGTATAGTTACAATGAGTTAAATGAACTTGAATGCTAAATATGAATGTTGTTTGGGTAGCCTTTTTGTTTCTTCTAATTGTAAAAGTGTACTGCTTGTTTCCATCGATGCGTTATTTGTCCGGGATGTTCCATAGTACGGCATCGGCATTGTACACAGATCTGAATTGTAATCTTTCTACTGACTTAAATTTTCAAAATTAAGTTATTTTATTTGTTTTATGAATTTTCAAACATAGAAATTTGAAGTAAAATAAGTAAGTGTTCATTTGGGATGAAGTTACAAGTGTGTGTACATGTGTGTATTAGAAAGACAGACACATAGATGGATGATAGTTTGTGTTCATTTAGGATGAGGATATAAGTGTGTGTTGTGTTTGTAAAAGTTTGTTTTGTAAAGAATGAATTTTGTAAAAATTTATTAAAAATTAATAAAACATTTTGAGACTGTCTTTGATCATTGTTATAATTGTACACAAGGATGGATAGAGATAGATAGATAGATAGATAGATAGATAGATAAATATGGATAAATAATATTGTGTAAGTGTGTAATAATCATTGCCAAGCGGCAATGATTATTTTGAACGCAACCGGTTGCGCAACAACAAGACACTGAATTGATCATGAATCCTATTGATATTGATATTGATTTATTTGTTAAAGGTGCATCATATTTTTGTAGTATTATTTTAGTTTATTAGTATTATGGATTATTAGTCAAATGATAGCCAGATGTTTATTTTTGTGTGTATTGAATTTATGTGTGATTGAATTTTCATTTCCTTTAGTAATGGTTTATTACTCCAGCTAAGGCTAATTTAAGTTAATTTATTTCATTGCTAATTTTTGTTTTACTGACCCTGTTCCAGGTCAGGTTTTTCCCCCCACACTGGATCATTCTCTTGCACATCAACAACACTACACTGGATGGCGAGCTACAGAACGCTGCATGAAATCGCGGTAGGATAAAAACACCCCTTTCATAACAACGGAACCCTATTCTCTTTTGGATTACAATAACTTTAATGGACTATATCACCCTCTACCCCTGCCTAGTAACTGAACTCTTGACTTTGAAAAGACATTTACTGGTTTTGTCATTTTTTTGTGTGTGTGCTATTTTGTTTCTGTTAAATCATACCTATATATATATATATATACATATCAGTAATAATAATAATATAATATAAATACGTTTCTATTATTCATACCCCTTATATATTTATACTCTGAATTTATATCATTAATATATATCTTTGAACTGATTTTGTGTTCTTTGTTTTATTCACACACCTTCACTCCTGCGGGACCTTCTTCTGATTGCACAGATCGCTGCCATATCCTAGCCCTAGTCCGTTACAATGTACATGTGATAGATAGATAAATGTACAAGTGATAGATAGATAAACAGATAAATTGAAGTTATTATATTTGTCTTATGAATTTTCCGGAGCAAAAGCGTACAGCATCGTGATTTTAATAAAGATTTGTGGTGAATTTTGTTCAACAGCAACAATTCAATGTGTTTTTATTTGTATGTTTGTGTTTCCTCAGACTATAAACACTGTCTGGAGATTGATTCGGCCCTAACATTTACTGTTTTCTAAGTCAAATAAACAATAAAAGGTCAGACACAGGTTTAGTTTCACACTTGAATAAATCGTTTATTCTCCAAAGAGTCCAACTCTGTCACGAATGCACAAGAAATACGACAGTTCAGCATCTCCATGACAACCGTGCAACAGGAGCCCAGCACTGTAAAACTATACCCCAGTGTTTAACATGGGACAGCACTGTAAAACTATACCCCAGTAATTAAAATGGGAATACACAATAAAACTATACCCCAGTGTTTAAAATGGGAATACACTGCAAAACTATAGCCCCAGTGTTTAAAATGGGAACACACTGCAAAACTATAGCCCCAGTGTTTAAAATGGGAACACACTGTAAAACTATACCCCAGTGTTTAAAATGGGAATGCACTGCAAAACTATAGCCCCAGTGTTTAAAATGGGAACACACTGTAAAGCTATAGCCCCATTGTTTAAAGTGCATATGACGGGTTTTCATGTTTTCCTAAATTATGACTTGGTTTTGTGGGGTAGTACCTGTGGTCAATATTTATCCTAGTTTTATATCAGTTAATTGAAAAGTTTGGACAAAAAGTACAAAAATTTAGGAAGTAGCGCTAAGTTCTAAATCAGAATCACTCTATCTTTGTCATCAACACGGAAAACTCAATTTATGCACAAAGAAGGCTTTTTTCTGACAGTTTGAACCTTCATTTAACAAAATAAAGGTGTTGTAATTAATTTTTGTTAATCTAACCATACCTATTGTGTAAATTAGACAAGTTTAGGCATTATGGTTGTTAGGTAACATTTCTGAAATTATCTCTATGTATGTCACATCTGCTGCCTGTGTCCAACCAGGAAGTAAAATTACATAGATTGTAGATTGATGTTTGTACTTTTCCACTAAACTTAATAAGTAAAGATGCACTATGGAACTTTCCTATTGCTTGTCTTCATGGAGATTACAGTCTTTGCTTGGCCTGGAAAGTTCTGCAGAATTTTTGAGTGATAAAAACACCCGTAACTGACTATTTAGATATGTTTAATGACGTACTGTGGAACATTCCAGGCAAAGCAATAATATTGTCACAAAGACAATATGAAAATCTATAATAAATATTGACCACAGGTTCTATCCCAGCAAAACAAGTCATAATTAAAAAACATGTCATATATTATTTAAAGGTGCATTGCGTAACATTTTTGGTAGAGGGTCCACCACCTGTTTTACTGTATGTAGATGTTGTTGTTTTTACATGGAATGTTCTAAAGTATGGCATTTAATTTAAATATCTCCATGGAGACAAGGAGGCCAAGTCACCAGGCCAAGTCACCAGGCCAAGTTACAGGTCAGATCTGTGGAGAAGTGGATCCGCTCATGGTAATAATGTAATCTAATGTCTTTGTGCTAGTCTTGAGAAAAAAACAAACAAAAAAACAAAACCAAACAAAAAAACAAAACTGTAATTACATAAATGTCATGCCATTTAATGCCATACTGTGGAATGTACCAGGCAAAGCAATAACAACACCATGGAGACAAGCAAGCCACATTACAGGTCAGATCTGTGGAGAACTGGGTAATAACAAGCTTTTGTAATAGTTTTGAGAAAGAAAACAAAACACAGCTGAATAAATACAAGATATAGATTGTTTAATGCCTTACTGTGGAACATCCCAGGCAAAGCAATAACATGACCATAGAGACAAGCAGACCAGAAAAGTTACACAGTGCACCTTTAACATGGGACAGCACTGTAAAACTAAACCTGCTTTTGTCACACTTTACTTTGTTGCACTGATGGAGTCTTTAAAGCACTTCATATAAATATACCAAACAAAATCAAAACAACAACAATAAACAACTCATAAAAACAAAATATTCCAATGCTCCCTACAGAGTTTTTAGGCAACAACTTTTTTTTTTGTTTTTCCAACTTAAAATGTACAAGTAAGAGCACTCAAGATCAAATGAATAAGTTAACATTGGTTCAAATAAAGAAGAAGAAGAATATATATATATATATAAAAACACACACAGTTCAGCATTTGTTTTAAAATGTAATCTATGAGACATTTGGGAAAGGGACCGTCTTTTTGGCAAAGATTTGAACTTTGGAGTAGTGGGAGGAGACATGTAAACACTGGGTTTAGTCTTAAGTCTATTAAAGGAACTGTACGCATCTTGTTTCTTACAGTTAAGTAAAGTTACTACAATCACAACTGAACTTGGGTAAAAGGTGCATTGTGTAACTTTTCCGGTGGAGGGCCTGTGAAATGCTTTTCTCCATGGAGATGTTATTACTTTGTCTGGAATATTTCACAGTATGGTGTTAATACTGGTAGATAGAGACGTGCACATTCAATAAAAATGCGACTGCGTGCTGGGTCCAAAAACAAAAATTGTACAAAAGAGGAAGAAAGCGATCCGCATTTGCAGTTATTTGAAGCTCCCAAATTTTTATTTCAGTGACACCACAATGTGACATTTCAGGTCAAGTCCTTCTTCAGACAGACTTGAAACATCGCATTGTGGTGTAATTGAAATAAAAATTTGGGCGCTTCAAAGAACTGCAGTGCGGATCTCGTTCTTCTTATTCTTTTGCAAAATATGCTGTTAAACCTTGCTATTTTCATGGAGACCAAACCAGACCAGAAGTTACAGATCAGATCTGTGGAGAGGCAACCCGCTCACAGTCAAAGTTTGTGTTTTATCTAGGTACTTTTGAGCTATAAAACCACCTGTAATTGAATAAATGTGAAGTAGAGCAGAGGCATGACATTTCCATAGAAACAAGCAGGTGACGGACCCCCAACCAAAAAGTTACAAACAGCAGTGCACATTCAACCTAGAGGATACACGCATCAAATTATAAGTCCAATGTTTTGTATTTAAGAGTAAATCCACATTAGAACATGTTTACATGTATCTGGGAACACAGTTTATGAAATTTAAAATCAAACTCTTACATATATTTCCTTTACACTGCTCCTGTCTGTTCTTTCTAGCCCCGTCTCTCATAGAACAACATTTTAAATACTCTTAAGTGTGTTTTAAAGCTGCACTACGGAACTTTTCTGGTGAAGGATCGCTCCTAAGTGGCACCATGGAGATACTGCTTTGTCAGGAACATTCCAAAACAAGGCATTAAACCCGTCTGTCTCTGTGGAGTCAGACGAAGTGTGGCAAGTGGTAAGTGTTTACATGTAAGATCTGTGGAGAGGCGAGTGCAGTGATGGCAAGAATGCATGTTTTTCAATGCATTGGTTTGGCAATAAGAACACGTAAGATATAGTTAGCGTTAATGCCAGACTGTGGGACATTTTAGTAAACGTGAAAACACCTCCATGGAATCAAGCACGCATAGAAAAGTTACGTCGTGCAGCTTTAAATCAGCCGTACAGTTTCAACGCCTTAAACTTCAGGACATCTCAATGACATTTTGTACAATTTTACTATGTTACATTTCACACCCACACTTTAGTTTGTTAACATATAAATATATCTTTTTCTCAATAAAAGGAAAATAAAAGGATCTTTGACACAGTATGGTTTTTCCCATTGAGTTTGCGTAGTTGTAAAGTGCAAGGCGTGACGTAAACGCTTGAAATGGTCAGCAGGGGGCACACGCGCTCAGAGAAGAAGTCACCACAAACTCAAAACGTTTCATATCAGTGAGCGGAAGTGAAACTGGACACTTAAAGGCGCGCTACGGAACTTTCCCAGTGTTTGTCGCCATGGAGATTATAGTTACTGCTTGGCCTGGAATGTTCCGCAGGATTTTTGAGTGATAAAAACACCCGTAACTGAATAAATAAGATACGTTTAATGCCGTGCTGTGGGACATTCCAGGCAAAGTATTAACATCTCCATGGACCTTCCATAGCATCAAACTTTCTTGATCTCCACGGAGACAATTAAATGACATCACAATGAGGCCCAGTTACAGGTCAGATCTGTGGAGAGGCGAGCCCACTCACAGTAACAGCAATGAGTTTTTCAGTGTTTTTTAATGCAATAAAAACACCATAGATTGAATAAATACTGTACCATGGAACATTACAGGCAAAACAATCTCCATGGAGACAGAAAGGTAGTTGACCCCCCCTACAGGAAAGTTTCATAGTGCACCTTTAAATAAATACAGAATACTTTAATCAAATTTGAAAATGTATATTATCTTATTTTGGAAGATTTGCAAATGATATTCAAGCCTTTCATTACAAACAATGCAGCTAAAACTAAAATTGTAATAATTGCATATATTTATATAGACTTTTAAAGGTCCTATATTACACAAAATTGACTTTTGTGAGCTTTAAGCCATGTTATAATGTTGTTACATCATTAAAAACATATCTGGAGTTGTTCGTTCCACCTTCTGATGTCATGAAGAGGGAGTTTTCAAGTTAACATCTCCTTTAACCTTTAGTTCAGTAGAGATTGAAAACTGAAATTACCCAAACGATTCTAGTGAAGGTGTATGTGATTTAAAAACACAGTGGAGCACTTCCTGTATCGCCACATGACATCACAAGGTGAAACAGAGTGTTTTCTGTTTGAGAGAAGAATTCAGGAACACCTGTGAATGAAACAAAACACAACTCCAGGTCTGTTTGTGATGAGGAAACATTAGAACATACTAGATCAGAAAATAGCATAATATGGGCCCTTTAACGCTGATAAAATGTATTCACTTTAGTTTATTTCCCTTTTTTGCCAACTTTGTACCTGGGTTAAGTCCTGCACTATTTATAATTAGACGTACATACTAACAAATAGAATTCAATACTCTGCAAAGTGGTTAGAAGACTATTGAGGCTTCGTAATAGTAAAGACGCTAGGCTAGGCTAGGCTAGGTTAGCTAGGTTAGCATGCGGGGACACAGGTTTTACATTACAAACATGTCCATATGTTTACGCACAGTGTCTGACGGGAAGCAGCAAAATCAGCTCCATGAAGTACCATTGGGAAATACAAAAAATATAGATCTTTAGTAATAATAATAGCTTTAAACCACAGACAAGGCAAAAAACTCAAATATATTCGAATTACAATCATTGCAAAGACTGAGAAATCCTCCATAAGAGATACAGTATTTTTACTAATATGTTAAAGGCGCTGTACCTGATTTTTTACCGTCTTAAAAAACATGAAAAAAAAAATTGGTTCATTTGCAGTGGTCCAAAGTTATTCCTCGCAGACCTTATGCATTTAAAGTATCATAATTATTCACCACGATGTGTTTGAAAGTTGTGAAAAGCTCTTATAGAGACCGGAGTGGAGTTTTGCAGTGAAGCTAAACATAATTAGCATGCTAACACACACTTCTTGATTATCAGACAAATGCTTTAGATGCAGACAGTAAACAGCTGGCTTATTTTGAAACTAAGAGCTAAGGATGAGTGATATATCGATTCAGGTTTCGGCCAAATTCAAATCAAATCAATACCGATATTTTGTGTGTCCTTTGTGAACAGGCTAATGAGTAAAATGGAAAAAGAAGAGTGATATATAGGTTCATTATTTAAAATTTCAGATACATACATTTGTTTTTGTTTTTACAAGAGTGAAATGTTAATTTGTGAGCTTTACTACAAGTTAAGATACATTTCTGGACGTTACTGTGGATTTTAACAGACAAATATTGTATCGGTCACAGCAGCAGGACAAATATCGGCTCAGAAAAAAAAAAAGAATGAATTTAAGTTATGGACAAAATGTCAAAATAAAAACACCAGGATCATGTAAACTTGATTGACAAACATTTTAAAATCAAAATGAGGAGTTTGACAATCGCAGTTACAAAGACAAAGGCGATGGTTCTTCAATGCAAAGTGAATTGAAGCCAGAGTCGATGGAGCCAGAAGCGCGCCCATGCTCAGTTCCTCTTTGGAACGTGGCGGCTAATGAGTTAGCTATGTCCATTTCTGTATTCAGTCTATGGGAAGTATGTTTACATATTTTAAATCCCACTAAATATGTTTTATTATTTTTGTGAAAATTTAAATTAAGATACATTTGTGGGCCTTACTGTGGATTTTAAAAGCTAAATATCAGTATCAGCAAATATCGATTATCAGCCACGGCAGCAGGCCAAATATCAGATATCGTATCGGCTTAATAAAAATCAATCAGCACATCCCAACTAAAAGCTGCTTATACAAAATGTCTGTATTGGGGCAACACACATTTTGCTCAAATAAACAAGGAAAAAACTCAGGTACAGGGCCTTTAAATCCGCCAATGTTTTCAAGTATAATCCGTTTACTAATATGACAATAATGAATCACTTTTGTTTTCACGTCAACATGAAATTACAGATTTTCGCAGCGTACATTTCACACCACAGTCTATTAAGAACCACTTTTAGTTTAGCACAACGTTACGATCTTTTTAAAATCACAATATTATGACTATTCACATAAATTACAAGTTACATTCGTTGGTTGTTTATATTTTTTGCAACACTTAGGTCAAAGTTCGTGAGATGTATTTGTTCGTATACCGCTGTTGTTAGGTAAAAGTTCTCATGGCAGTAGCAACAGCAAAATAAATAAGGCTAAAACTGAGAAATTAAAAGACTAAAACCACTTTAAATGTCTAAACAAAATGGCGGATTCCACATGCAAAGGTAAACTTGCGTCTTCTTGTTCGTCGATTTGAAGATTTGCTCTCTCAAATCCTGTTGAGTTACAGCAACGGAAAGCACTTTTAAAATGTGAGATTTGAACGCCGCGGACTGAAAGAAGTGGAAGTGGTTGAACTTCCAGTGTCTTGCTCAAAGGTCCGATGGCATTGTGAGCAGTGACAGCAGGAGGACAGCAGGGGGCGCTCCACAAAGCCACTGGTTCTGGTTTAAAAGCAGCTCGGAGTGGAGCCTCTTCAGTTGCCTGAGAAATCCTCGCCAGATTTGACCTCCAAAGTTCCTACGAAGACAAAAAATTAATTACAAAAAATATATAAATGATCACCACTAGGGGGTGCAAGATTACTTAGCTACACAGGGATAAGACCCCACACAGACACAGGGAGGGCCTCTGACACACACACACTGGGAGGGCATCTGACACACTGGGAGGGCATCCATGTTACCTGACAGGGAGCTGTTGGACTTTTGCTTGTGCAGTTTCTCTCTCTCCTTCTTCACTTTGGGGATCATCTTTAGCTTCATGCTGCTGCTGCTCTTACTGCTGCGCACAGAGTCCTGAACACAGGGTCACAGGTTATTGGGATGGAATAGTTTGAACATTTTTTTTTTTTTTTAACAGCGTTTCAGACAACAGAACGTTTAAATAACATGTGATTGTATGTGTGAGAGACTTGTTTAACAACACAAATAATCTCCCTGTTGTCATTCCAGCTAAATGAGTTCTTTCTGGTCAGATTGTGTTTCCATAAAGCTCAGATTATTAAAGTGTAACTTGAGCAGCAGAGCATCAGACAGACCAGTGCCTCCAGTTAGCTTATTGTGTGCTGGTACCTCTTCGTTGCACTGCATGAGGGGGCAGATCCAGTGGATGTCATCCAGTTTGTGGAGTTCTGCACTGAGAGAGTTCAGAGTGGTCCTGAGTTCCTCCTCCTCTGCACACTTAGACTGAAGAGACATCAGACACACGTCAGTTTAGCTCCTCAATAACAACAAACAGCAACTTTAAAGCAAATATAGTGTTAAAGCTGCACTGTGTAACTTTTCTGGTGCAGGGTCTGACCCCAACTTGTTAACCTTGCAGTAAATTGAGAGACTCGTGAGGCTCATTCTGCTTTCTTATTGGATAATTGCCTTGAACCAAAACACTAAATTATAACATAAACAAATGGGACATCAGATCCAGTAGTTTCGTAATTAAGACTGAATAAGCACTAAAATTGCTATCAGTAAAAGTTTATTTTTTTAACCTCATATCTGAGGACACACATTGGTCAAGTTTATGATATTTAAAATCTAAATTGTACATATGCTTCCTTGAATCTGGGAAATAAAGACCATAGTACCAGTATTTTTTTTATATTAAACATAAAGCAGATCTTTTTGTACCAGTATTTTTCCCTCCAGGAGCATCTTGGTCTCAGCCTGAAGAACTTTGCTGCTGTTGACAATTTCCACAGCTGTGCTCCGGCTCAGACACTGCAAAAACACAGAGCAAAATGAACTGATTTAAATGAGAATCATAAAAACCTCATAACCTATAAAAATAGATCACAAAATTCATATTACACCCTCCATGAAGCAGGCCCTCACCCATCTCTTCCTCTTTGTTCTCTCTCTCCTCCTTTTCCTTACAACCATTAGCTTATTACTGTACGTTTTTATTTTATCCTTGGTGTAATAAATGTAACTCATTTCTATTGTCCAATTATTACCTGGTCCCCGAAGGGTTGAAAAGTTTTTGTATTCACCCTGTGTGTCCCCGTACCCGATGCCGCAAAAAAAAAAAAAAGTTTGGTGACGATCTGAGGTCATTTGAGGTCACACGGGTCAATTGAAAGGTCATGCCATTATAAACGAGAGGCAATTTCGGCAATTTGCGGGTTAAAATATTCACCCAATCATCACACAAGTTGACACACACATAACCGGAGTACACTGGATGTTACAGGTTGAAACCGGTCAAGGTAACCAAGGTCAAATATCCGTTTTTGGTCATAACTCCGTGAAGGATCGAGCTAGAGCAACGGGAGCGGTCTCAGAAAAATTATTATTTATAATTCTATGCATTTGTATAGTAAAATATTAATAGTTTTTGAGATAATCACTAATTATAACAGTTCCTTTCTCTTTCAGTGTAGCTGTTAAAATTCTAATTGGAATGAAAATAGTTCCCATTTCTTCTTTTTCTGGTGATACACAACACACTGATCTACAGTCACACAACTAACATATACGGAACTCACGAACAATTACATTTTCGTTAGTTTCATTCGTCTAGTAAACACAGACATTCTCATGTGTGACCAATATCACACAAATGTTCATGGGCCTGTACAGCTACACACACTGCACTGTGGATATAACGATCATGTCATATGGACTGGGCTCCTCAAAAGCTGCTTCTGTGGTGATGAACTGACCCCACTGATGCCTCATGGGGACCAGGTTGATATCTCTGATTGCACTTGTTATATTTAAGAGGAACCAAGAAAACTAGTGACAGATGGGGATAATGGGGATCCTCACAAAATAATAAATCAATGATGTCAATAGTGAAACCTCCCTCTCTGCCTTTCCTCTCCGTCTCTGGCTCTCTCTCCATTTCCCCCTTTTCTCTTCCTTTTCTCCTCCTCTCCGTCCTCTCCCCGCCTCTTCCTCCTCTCTCCTTTCCTCTCTCATCTCCTCCTTTCCTCCTTCTCTCCGCCCTCCCTCCGTATGTCTGCCCCCTCTTCTCTCACCCCTGGACCAGATTACTCTCCACCTATCTCTCCCTCTCCACCTCTCTCTTGTTCTTGTTTTCTCTCTCCCTCCCTCTCTTCCTCCCCTCCTCCTCCCTCTCTCTCTCACCTCAGGACTGGACAGTTTGGCTTCAGTTAGCACCAGAGCAGTAGCGTTGACGGCGTGGGCCAGCTCCTGTTCCACCAGTTTGTGACTCTTCGCAGTTTCCCGGATCCTGTAACGAGGGAGGAGATAATTACAGACCCGGAACATGTCTAATTATGCTTCTGCATCGTCAGTAATGGCTTAATTACAATGATTAGATGAACAAATTTACACCGAGGAAAATCTCTATTGTCGACGCCATCTCAAATGTCCCATATCCAATCTTTATGGTAATATCTTTTGGTTTATTCAGATATGTGTTGTTATTTTGAGATAATTAGAAATACTACAACTACTACAACTACTACAACTACTACAACTACTACCACTACTACAACAACAACTACTACTGCACTGCTGCTGCTGCTACTGCTAAAACTGTAAGATAATCTCTATTTTCAGTGTAATCTCAAATGTACCATATCCACTCTCTGTTAATTATCTTTTAGAAATGATACTACTTCTGCTACTACTGCTACTACTGCTACTACTGCTACTACTGACACTATGTCACTGACTGCAAAGACTAAGAAAATCTTTATTACCAATGCTAAGTCCAATCTTTGTGTTAATTATCTTTTAGAAATGCTACTACTACTACTCCTACTATTACTCCTGCTACTACTACAAATGCTACAACAACAACTGCTACTACAACAACAATAATTACTACAGCTACTACTGCTACTACTACAGCTACTACTGCTACTACTAGTAGTACTACAACTACAACAACTGCTACTACAAGAACAACTGCTACTACAGCAACAACAACAGCTACTGCTACAACAACTACTACTACAAGTACAACAATTACTACTACTACTACTGCTACTACTACTACTACCACTACTACCACTACTACCACTACTTACTACTACTACTGCCACTACTACTACTACTACTACTGCCACTACTACTACCACTACTACCACTACTACTACTACTACTACTACTACTACAGTAAGAAAACTTCTGTTGTCAACACGATCTCAAATGTTCCATATCCACTCTTTACGGCAAGAGTGGATATTTTCACATTGGTTTATTCAGGCGTGTGGTTCTGTTGGAGATAATTAGTTGCACTGAGATAATTGAAAAATAGGAGTGGTAAAGTAAAAGTCATTAAAGCTGCTGAGAAACAAAGAGATTACAGACGAAGTCGTAATGATGATAATGGCTTCAAGATTCTCAAAGGCTTCATATTATATTGGCTATTATAGTTTAAAGAGGATGCATTTTACTGTTGTATTAACTGTTAACACATAACATATTTAGATCCCACTAATGAAACTACTGCACATCACATCAGATTTGTGAAGTTGTAGTGTACAGTTTTGTATCAGGTTTGTGAAAAATGGTCATGTCGGAGGATGGGTGATGTAGGCTTGTGGGTGGAGCATTGTACAGGCTCGTACAGCTAACTGTAAGTAGGGTTCAAATAGGGCCCAGAAGTGATCGAAAGATTAGGAGCAGTGAGGCGCAAGTGGACCCATCTCCAGATCTTGAGTTAGTCTTGGTCAGGACTAATTTAGCTGGAGGATTTGACCTATGAGGCATGTTTTGGATTGCTGGAGGAAACCAGAGGGCCCAGAAGAAGCCCACCCAGACACAGGGAGAACATGCAAACTCTGTACAGAAAGACCCGGGTGACTTGAGGTCTTTTCTTGCTCTAACCCAGGGGTGTCAAACTCATTTTGGTCCAGGGGCCATATCCAACCTACTTTGATCCTAAAGGGGCCGGATCTGAAAACTCATGGCATATAAACCCCAAAAATAACAATAAGTTCAAATATTTGTGCAGAGAAACTCAAATCTATTACAGAAATCTTTTTTAATTGATGAACTCTTTATTTTACAAAATATTATAATATTATGAACAACCTTAAACTTTAAGAAAAATGCAATTTCAACACAATGTTTTAACATGAACTTGTATGCAAATAGGAATAAGTAAATTTTTCTTGGAAAATCCTGCACTTGGCTCCACTTTTCTCATTTTTGACATTTTGCTGATGAGGGTGTCACGGTCAACAGTCAAAACTATCATCCTTTAAGAGCGTTTGGAAAGAGGCAAGTCTTCATTTGTGCTGCTCTGGTGGGAGGCGTCCACACACAGAGGTGCTGGAGACGCTGCTATGCTAAGCGGCACAGAAAATTACCAATACTTTAATAGAAAATATAATTTTAAAAAAAATCAGCCGAGGGCCAGATTAAAAGGTCTTGGAGGGCCGGATCCGACCCCCGGGCCGTATGTTTGACACCCCTGCTCTAACCACTCACCATCATGCCTCCAAAAAGGCGATTTCGCATAAATCCCCCTCTTATAAACTGTCACATTTTTCCACTTTCAAAGTTCTGTGGACGAACAGTGTCACAACCTCCTTTAAACTCGTTTTCCTCAGACTCACTTGTTGATGAGCGTCTCTGCCACCAGCCCGAGCTGTTGCACCTGTGCACACTCCTCCTCCGTCAGGTACTCCATCGACTGCTGTGAGTTCAGACGAGGACGGATCGCTCTGTACGGGTCCACCTTCATCTTATCCTCCCACGACTTCAGGGTGCTCTCAAACGCCTGGGACATAAACAAATACAGTATATGCATTTAAACATGGTGCTCTCAAATGCCTGGGACATCAAAAAATACATATACTAAAACAGGATGCTCTCAAACGCCTGGGGCAACACAGGTTCAGTTGTGATTCTACTACCTTTTTAAAACTGTAAGAGTGCAGGATATACTGTATACAGTTCCTTTCACTGTGCCTTACCCTGTCTCTGGTGAGCATCTGAGCCCTGTTCTTGTGCACGATCTTGAGGACTCCTGGAGGCTGGATCCAGGCCTCTCCGTCCACCTGCACTGGGACCCCCTCCTCCCCCAGGATGGAGATCTTCACCTGACGACACTAAGCATGCAAAAAGAACGAAGATTAGACATAAGAGGGTATGTCACAAATAATAAACTAAATAGGCAGCAGTGATTATTTGTTCATAGATTTAAAAAGCGAGAAATCAAAATGAAATCTATATTGCAATTTGAATGACGCACTTAACAAATCATAATGGCTGCAGTTTAATTTAAAAGTAGTAATAAACGAGATGGGATGAGAGAAATGTGTAAAACGAGCCTGGCAATGATTTATGGATTAAAGTACTGAGCAAGGTTTCTATCTGTGACATCACAATCATGGAAAATTTAAAGAAGATTAATGGTTCAAAGCTCAATAAAGTTTTAAATCAGTATTGTATTTTGTAGAACACTGTGTATTTACCTGAGCGATTCTGTGATGCTGCAGGTTAATGACCCTGGAGACAGCCATCTGCATACTCCCAAAGACAGCCACCACCTCCAGCTTCTTATCGTCGAACGAGGGAGCGCCAAAATTCTGGAAAGAACACAAATAGTTCAATAATCCTACCTCCCTGTGTGTCAGATGCCCTCCCTGTGTCCTGTAGTTTAGACCTCTACAAACATATTCTGATTCTTGGATTAGCTCAGCAGCTCAGATCTGAGTCTTATCTCAAATGTTAATAGTCCTGAACAGGTTTATAATACTGTGTACTGTGAAATTAATTCAGACTTGAAAATATTCCTTACATTATCTTCTTTGGTTCCACCCCAGAAGTTGATGCCTCCTGCGTAACTGGGGATATTGAGCACAGCCAGGCCCTGCAGACTGGGGAGAGACATGGGAACGCCATCACACTGCAAAAACATAAAAAAAAATTTGTTTGAGAAAGTTTGAAAAGTGCAGAAAAATGACAGATTTTGTGACTTTGTGAGTGTTTTGACTGACCTCCAGCTGAACTCTCTGCTCCAGGTTTTTGTAGGTTTTCTGGACCAGTTCTTTGGTTCCCAGGACACCGTACCACATCATGTTTTTAGTGCGACTACTGCAAAGACGAGACAGTAGAACAAGGTTACCCTCTCCTTATATGGCCGTACCCTCTCTTTATAAGGTCAGACCCTCTCCTTAAATGCTCGTACCCTCTCCTTATATGGTCACACCCTCTCCTTATATGGTCATACCTTCTTCTTATATGGTCGTACCGTAGTAGAACAAGGTTAAGGGACACTGTTCTTGTAGCAGGAAATGGGTCTTCTGCATTTGACCCATTCTTCAGGGTGTCTGGGTTAACCCTGTCAGGAACAGTGGGACCCATCTCCAGATGTGGACTACCTCAGCTGGAGAATTTGACCTATAGTGCATGTTTTGGGGGGTATGAAAAACCGAAGGAACCTATCTAGACATAGGGAGAACATTGAAACTCCACACATAGACTGTGAGGTATGAATGCTAACCACTCTGTCCCTGTACGTCATGTTTTTGTGTGATTGCTGCAAAAAGAGAAAGATCAATGGGGCTAAACTCAACAACAGCAAGAATAAGAAAAGAGAGGCAGGGGGATTCTTACAAAATCTGTCTTTGTCTGATCTCTGCATCAAACTAGAGCTGTGGGGTAAATAGTCACATTTGTATACAGCGCTCTTCCACCTTCAAGTCACTCAAAGCGCTTTACAACAACAAACCACTCACCCATTCACACACACATTCACACACCAGTGTATGCGAGGTGGGTTAAGTGTCTTGCCCAAGGACACAACAGCATTCATCGGTGGGTGGAATCACACTGCCAACCCATGGGTCAGTGGATCTGACCGTCAACCTTATTAATCCTCTACTAACTGAGCTACTGTGATGATGAGTCAAACAAAAACATTTGAGTAATACACTGAATCATGTAGAAATTATTATAATGCGCTACTTTTCAGCCTATTCCACGTAATCCACTCTGGAATCATCCACCTTAGCTGCCCTGGGGCAAACTGACGCAGGAGTGGCTGCCACAGTCATAGTCTCATAAACTGGTGTCTTGGAGGTAGGTTTTATGCACTGCTTTGAGTTTGGGTTGAACATTGAGGCTGGACTGATGGAGAATATTGACAAGATACAGTAGGTTTTATTTTACAATTACAAAAAACCAACCACATTCTTGCACTTTCTACTGCTTTATATATAACGTATACTCCAAACTCTAACCTAAATAAGTAATGCAATTCATATTTTATTCATTCTTATTCAGGATTTCACTCCCAAATGGCCCAGTGCTGATATAACTTTGATCGTACTTTATTCCATAAGAATAGTATAGAATAAGTCTTATATTTTTTTAAAGGCAGCATTCGTGTTGTGTTTACCTGCATTTCTTGGGGTGCTCGTCTCTCTTGTTGTTGAATTCGAGGGAGATTTTCGCGTCAAGGCCGATGCCAAAGTAGTTATTCATGACGCACTTTTCTGAACAGTGTCTGAAACAGAACATAAACAGCCAGCTCACACGTCTATACATGATTTTGTTTCTCTGCAGTCAATTTGTTTTGCTTTTCATTTCATTGTTGTGAACACTGAAGGCCACCGTACATCTAGGCCTGTCACAATAACAGAATTTAAAGTACAATATAATGTTTAAAGGTGCATTGAGTAACTTTTCTGATGGATGATTTTTTGGTGGACCTGCTTGTTGTATGGATATGTCATTGCTCTGCCAGGAATGTTCCCCAGTATAACATTAAACAGCTCAGGTGGGTTTATAGCTCAAAATACCTAGAAATGGGGTTGTCTCTCCACAGATCTGACCAGTAACTTAGTCTGGTTTGATCTCCATGAAGATAGAAATAGAAGTTTAATACCATACTTTGAAACATGCCAGACAAAGCAATAACATTTCCGACAAAAGCATTTGACGGACCTTCCACAAGAAAAGTTACACAATGCACCTTTAAAAAAATATAGACAATAAACGATAATATTTAAATCGATTTATGCCTAAAAACTATTCTAAATGTATAATATGGTTAAAAAAACATGAAATGCAATAAATAAAAGCAGAATCAAACAGTAGTTAGTAGTAGTTTGCGTCTATAATACCGTATTTTCCACACTATAAGGAGCACTTAAAAGCCGCACTTAAAAGCCGCACTTAAAAGCCGCACTTAAAAGCCGCACTTAAAAGCCGCACTTAAAAGCCGCACTTAAAAGCCGCACTTAAAAGCCGCACTTAAAAGCCTTTCATTTAATGAAAAAACGACGTGCCTTATAATCCAGAGCGCCTTATATCCTCCTGACTACCCATAGTTCATTTTTGTCCTCTCTAGTGGACATTTCTTTACTAAAATATTTCCAACCCCCTGCGCATTACCTAACCAACTCCCTCTGTGATTTAAAGAGGACATTCAGAGCTTTCAAATGATACCAAATTTATAAGGGTGGAGCTTTGAAAAGATCCTCCTCCTTTTCAAGAAAAATGGCTGCCATCAACACAACCACATTTTATGGAAAAAAGAACAGGAAGTGGTATACCTTTTTTATTAAGCAAATTTTGGGTGTCTTTGGGTGTCTTAGTACGACTTTAGTAAACTACAAAGACGCACCACTTGCAGCATTACGGCTTCCGTAGTCAGGAGCATAGAGTTATACATACTGTGATTCCTTTTATTATCAAAATGCACCTGTCAAGAGACACACTTACAACGCCCACTTTAAACTCAAGGCTATTATAAAGTGAAAGTGTGAGCTGCGTGGGAGCAGTGGATGAGAGAAGATGAACACACATTCACCAAGACAGAGAGACAGTGGCGAGTGACTTGCGCCACGATCTGCCAATGGATCGTGGACTCCTGGGCTAAGGATCAGTATCAACTGTGGTCCGAGCTTTCACCAAGACCAGAATCATCAGATTCCGAGAGAGATGCGGGTGTGCTAATCGCCCAACTGTTTGAACAATTATGAGTTATTGTGAATACACTAACAATTTAGCGTCAGTATTTTTTTTACACGTTACAGTTGAGAACAAAGTTGAGAGTTATTGTGATTGCGTTAAATAAAGTTTGACTGACTTATCTAACTGTTGTGTTTCGTTTAATGCGCCTTATAGTCCGATGTGGTTTATATGTGAAAAAAGTTCGAAAATAGACAATTCAATGACGGTGCGCCTTATAATCCAGAGCGCCTTATAGTGCAGAAAATACGATAAATCACAGATATTTATTCAACCCTCTACAGCTCAAATCTTATCATATGATAGAAAAATTGAAAAAATAACACAAGTTTCTCTACTAGTACAAAGAAAAAGTCCCCACTATAAACACTCACCCTCAAAAATTAAATCAATATAGTAATTATCGCAAAAGCCGATACACACATCATCCCATTATAAAGCAGTTTCTTACACTGTAGAACACAGAGACGAAACATAGATCTAGAACAATTATAAAACATACACGGGGAGGTCATTGTACATGGCTGTGTGCAGACTCTCATGTTTCTCCAGGAGGATGGGGGAGGTGGGGCTCAGATTCCCTTGACCTGAACAAAAACAGGAAGTTAATTAATCAATAAAACATTTGCAAACATTAACCAAAATAAAGATTTTGGCTAGTTTAAAGGTGCATTGTGTAACAGTGTGTTATTGCTTTGCCTGGAATGTTCCACAGTAGGGTATTAAACCTTTCTGTCTTCATGGAGATCAAACTAGTCAAAGTTACAGGTCAGATCTGTGGAGAGGTGACCGCGCTCACAGTCAGAATGCCTGTTTTTCTAGATATTTTTGAGCCCTCCATCAGAAAAGTTACACAATGTACCTTTAAGTTAATTACAACATATTCAGTAAAAAGTCCTAATTAAATTGTCAAAATTTGTAAAACTATTTTGTACAACTTGAGTTTCTCACTGAATAACTTAAAATATATGGAAAACTGTAAGTTATCTGAGGTATGTACTCACAATGCCAGCAGGGGGCGCAAGGACTACAACTGCAATGGCACTAGTGAAAGAAGTAGTAGTAGTAATAGTAATAGTAATAGTAATAATAGTTGCTGAAGTCAAAGTTGGTTTGCTGTTTACTTAAGGAAGATTCAGCAGTGACAAGGTAAAAATGTGTGGACTTTAAAAATATAGAAGATATACAATTTCAAAGGAGCCACCCCCGGATGACCACCTAATGATGTCATGAGGTGGGCTTTCCTGTTAAACACATGGGGACTCACGTGGCTCTGCGTCTTTGAGCTCTTCGCTGTTTTCTCTTTTGAAAGAAGAAGATGACGACATCCTCTGGACCTGCGTGTGACGGTTCTGTTCATCCACCACTGAAAACAAAAAAAAACACATTTAAGAAGATTAAAGAGGAGGTTTTTACTTCTATGGGGTATTAAATGCTAACACGTAACATATCGTTTTGATGCTCTGAACCCCCCTTCTCTTTGCTCCCTGCGCTAAGTCACCCCCCTTCAGAGCGCCGTCATAACAATATTGTTTTGTATCCTGCTTTCGTATATCTACATGGTTGACATCTAATACTGCTCCAGGCATGCTTTTGATGAAGGAACAATACTACAACATGGTACAAAAAGTTCACTTTGACTGTGTTCCCCTTATATGGTCATACCCTTTCCTTATAAGGTCGTACCCTCCCCTTATATGCTTGTACCCTCTCCTTACATGGTAGTATTCTCTTCCTTATATGGTCATATCCTCTCCTTATATGGTCGTACACTCTCCTTATATGCTTCTTCCCTCTCCTTATATGGTCATACCTTCGTCTTATATGGTCGTACCTTTCTCGGCCTGCTCGATGATCTGTCTCAGGGCTTTCTTCAAACTGTTGGCTCGGAGCATCAGTTGTTCTTTGGACCTGTATGTTTTTCCGTCTGATCCCGGGTCTCCTTCTCCGTCTCCTGGTCCAGACCCTCCTCCATCCTCTCCTGGACCTGAACCAGCCGGGACCACCTGCACAAAACAAGAAAACCAATAAATCAATTGCGAAAACACTATTAAAGATTTTCACTTCATCTAGACATACATTACACATTTTTATACATTTCACCATAAATTATGCTTTTTTGTGAAGTTTTGGTTTGTTATTGTTACCTGCGCCTCGGCCTCTTCGCTCAGAGCTTTGACCAGAGAGTCCAGCTTCTCGTTCAGCAGAGCGCACTGAAAGAACAAGGGGTCAGTCCACCACAACAGGTTATACAAGAACTGCACAATTTGGGAAGCTAATTGTGATTTTTCTGATTAACACCGTAAGAAGAACCTGTTTGTGCAGATGTAAACTACGACTTTGTGCAACAGTTGGTGATAGTAACTCTGACAAAATATGTGAAAACTGAGAAAATGGCCCGGTTTTCTTCATCTAGATGTCATTGTATTCTTTTTTTTTCCTTTTAAAAATTGCCTATTAATTTGTGTATTATAATTTGTCTAACTTCATAAAAAAAAATTAATTGTAGCATGACATTGCAATAACTCCAGAAATCAGATAATGATCAGATTTCTTGTGTGTGTGTAAACATAGAGTATAACATAAGTTGAGCAGAAGAAGAGAGAGACAGGCGCTCCACACCTCCGCTCGCCCACAGCTCACTGTTACACAATCGCTCCCTTATATAACTCCATACAAACACACACATGCATGGATCTTTATCTGTACCTTCTTGGCCATGGCGTCTGCCTCCTCTCTGTTCTCCGTGGCCCTCTCGTACGCCTTCCCCACCTCCGCCACAAACTCGTTCACCGTTCCACACAGAAATCTGTAATACGGAGACACGAGAGGGACACGAAGGGTTAAAGTGAGAGAGAAATGAATATAAACAAACCAATACATAACCAAAACAATGGAGATATGGGGGATGATTTATTGAGTCTCTTGTGATCATTTGATGCCTTGTAGTGACATCATGCTGGGGGAGTTCTATATGTATCTCTATGGTGGAATGTTCAGCAAAGCAAAAGCAAAAAAAAAGTTTTAAGATTGTACTGTATGAATACTACTAGTGCTATAAATCAAAGTTAAAAAAATGTTAGGTATCTGTACTGCAGATTTTTAAGTGGATATTTTTTACTTTTACTTACATCTGAGAGCTGTACTTTCTACTCCACTACATTTCTGAACAAGACTGACCAGCTGAAAAAGCTGAGGGTTTTTTTCATAGTTTTATTTCACCTTCATAGTTTGAGACTAAAATAAATTGATTCAGAACAGATTGTTTCTGTTGAACAAATTTCAGCAAAAATCTGTATCATAATCAATACATTTGAAGTCTTATAAGACCTTAAAATCTGTCAAATATTTTTTTATTTTAATTACTTTTTTTTCTTTTAATTTTAAACAGGTACTTTAATACTTAAGTTGACTTTTTCATGTGGCTTTTACTTTTTTTTGGCTCAGTTGGTAAAAAAACTGAGTACTTCTTCCACTACTGCTACAAATACAAATTCATTTTATAACCCTCAATAAGTTTACAAACATTGGGATACTAAAATACTACTATATACTATGATAGGGTGACCAAATGTCCGTTTTTCCCTGGACATGTCTGTTTTTTGCATCCTGTCTTGGGCGTCAGGTTTTTTTTTTTTTAAGTGATGGAAATGTCCGGGTTTTTATTACCGTTCATTGGGGCCATTAAACTGAGTGGCTCTCGTAGCTCTCTGTTACTCAGAAGGAGCGAGCAGACACAAACAGTCAGTGTGCAACATGCTGAAGTGCAAATGCAAATTTAATGCAAACTTGTACAAGAACTTCTCTGTTTTCCGGTTTTCACAAACGGAAATATGGTCAGCCTATACTATTATATACTACTACTAAGCCAGTTAATCCTTCAGAAGTACTTCTCTTAAAGGGAGATTACACACTTGGCGGAGGAGATGACATCGCTGTGTCTGTCTGAGTCCAGGATCTTGGCGAGATGAGAGGCCACAGAGTCTGCGTACTGAGTGATATGAACCTGGAACAACAATACAGAAGAACAGGCATTTTTAAAGGTGCACTGCGGAGCTTTTCTGATGAACACCTGCCTTCTGCTTATAATGTAAAACTGGAACACATGTCACATTTTCTTGGTATTTTTGTGCTATAAAACCACCTGTAACTGAACAAATGTAAGTCAGAGGAGTTTAATGTCATACTGTGGCACATTCTAAGCAGAGCAATGACATACACAGGCAAAAAGTTACATAGTGCACTTTTAAAGATGAAGATGAGGATTTGACCTATAGTGCATGTTTTGGGTTCATGGGGGAAACCAGAGGAAACCCACACAGACACACGGAGAACATGCAACCTCCACACGCAAAGGACCAAGCGACACAGGGATGGAACCCAAAACCCTCTTGCTTCACTCACTGTGCCAGCTTTCCCTCCCTCTCTCCCTCTTTCTCTCGCTTTCAATTTCTCTCTTTCTCTCAATCACTCATTCACACTCTTTCTTTCACTTTCACTCTCTCTCTCACTCACACTTTCTCTCACTTTCAATCTCCCTCTTTCTCTCTCTCTCTCACTAACACTCTTTCTCTCACTTTCACTCACTTACTCACTCTGTGTTTCACTCTCTCTTTCTTTCTCTCTTGCACACTCTTTCTCTCAAACTCTTTCTCACATTCTCTCACTCTCTCTCACTCACCCTCTCTTTCTGTCACCATCACTCTCTCTCTTTCTCTCTCACTCACACTCTCTTTCTCGCAGTTTCACTCTCCCTCTCTTTCTCTCTCTCATTCACTTTTTCTCTCACTTTCACTCTCTCTCACTTCACACTCTCTTTCTCTCACTTTCACTCACTCTCTTTCTCTCAAACTCTATCTCTCACTCTCTCTCTCTTCTCTCACTTTCGCTCTATTTCTTGCTCTCTCTCTCTCAATCTATTTCTCTCTCTCTCTGCTGATGTGTAAACTGTTGGATCACTGTTCAGCACGAGTCTTGAATTTAAATGAGCAGTGAGGTCAGGGGTCACAGCTACAGGAGAAGAGGAGCCGTTCTGGGTGGATATCTTCATCTGTCTGTGGACTCAGCCCCAAACGCAGTTCCACTCTCCCTCAGGCTCTCCTCAAAGTGTGAAATCTTACTTTTGCGATTAAAGGTTATTTTATATGTGGACGTTTTCATAAATATTCCATAAACATTAACCTTTAGTTAAAATGTTATCTTTCAAATGGCCGCTGGGTTCGTCAGTACCTGCAGAGGTGAGTCGAGGATGTCTTCTTCCTTCACGATGGGCGGCAGTTTGGTGGTGGACAGAACTTCATATGTCATAACGCTCCACCTAAAAAAATAAAACAATATTAACTTTATTATAACAACATCCTCTGTTCCATCTGATTACCGTATTTTCCGCACCAAAAGCCTCCAACCCCATCAAAAAACGACTGTGCGCCCCACAATCCAGAGCGCCCTATCCATGAATCCACTCGGGTGTCCCAGCACGACTTCAGTAAACTACAAAGCCGCAGCGAAAAACACCCGCAGACACACTCATCACTCCACGCGGACAAGGAATGGAACGGAGGAACGATCCGAAAAAGCGAGTGCAATGTGCCACTTCTAGCCACAAATGTGTCTTCTTTCTGCAGATTAAGGCTCTGGCAACACAGGTTCAGTTGTGATTGTAAAACTTATACTGCTCTAGTGCACCAGTGTAAAAAGTTATACACAGACACAAAAGCCATCGTCTTCCTAGTAATTATTTCAGAGCCGTGAGCCCTGGTTCATTCCTGGTTCTTCCCTGGTTCTGCCCATGTGAATATGATCTCTCACTGGGGCGACGCTGCTAAAGTTAGACCCACTAATTCGATCTTTAGGGATTTTAGGGACCTTCAAATAAAAACGGAGCCTGATCCAGATACAAGTTTAGAGCCGGGAGCATTTTAAAGACAAGACAAAAATAATGAACAAGAACAGAAATATTAGCAACTACAGTCCCTGACAAAAGTCTTGTCGCTTATCCATTTTGTAGAAACAAAAGCTTATAAACTGACTTTAAATTAATCGATTGGTTTTAGAAATGTCTCATATGAAAGCTAAAACCCTCTCAAATTATGCTCAATATACTAAAATAAATTTGCTTCACTGAAGAAAGATTGATCATTTAATGAACACAGAAAGGTCAGATTTTGGCAAGACAAAAGTCTTGTCGCCTTGTCATGTGATGCACCCAATCCTAGATTACAGCCTCACCTGTGATCAGTTACTGATCAGTCAGTTAGTGGGTGTGTATAAAAAGAACCCCAGCACACCAGACCTTCACATCAACTGCAACTTGACCTCTGACAACATGCCTAAGATCCACCCTGAGACCAAAGCATTAATTATCAAGAGGCTGAAGACCAGATCCACTGCTGAGGTGGTGACACCTTCAATGTGTCTCAGCGTCAAGTACAAAGAATAAGAAAAAGATCTGAAATGACTGGAGATGTTTTTGACAAGCCCAGGTCCGGCAGACCCCGCAAGACAACTGCTCGGGAGGACCGTTTGTTGATATCGAAAATCCAAGGCCCCTTTTCCACTGCAGCAGACTCCACCAGGCCTGGTCACCTCAAGTCCCTGTGTCAACCACAACAGTTTGTAGAATTCTGTCTCGAAATGGCCTCCATGATCGAATCAGTGCACAGAAACCAGCACTAAACAAAAGGCAATTAAAAAAACCGTGTGGCATTTGCCAAGGCCCACAGCCTGCTAAAAGGATGGACACTGGAAAAGTGGCAGAAGGTGGATTTCTCAGATGAATCCTCGGTTGAATTACATCACAGCCGCCGCAAATATTGCAGGAGACCTACTGGAGCCGCATGGATCCAAGATTCACCCAGAAAACAGTTAAGTTTGGTGGCGGAAAAATCCTGGTCTGGGGTTCCATCCAGTATGGGGGTGTGCGAGACATTTGCAGGGTGGAAGGCAAATATCAATAACCTAAAATATCAAGAAGTATTAGCTCCTCTTACATTCCCAACCATAAAAGGGGTCAGATTTTGCAGCAGGATGGTGCTCCATCGCATACTTCTATCTCTACATCAAAGTTTCTCTCAAGGTGAAGAAGATCAAGGTGCTCCAGGACTGGCCAGCCCAGTCACCAGACATGAACATCATTGAGCAGGTCTGGGGTAGAATGAAAGAGGAAGCATGGAAGGCAAAAACCAAAGAATCTTGATGAACTCTGGGAGGCATGTAAGACGCTTTCTTTGCTATTCCTGATGACTTCATCAACAAATTGTATGAATCATTGTCGAACCGCATGGATGTAGTCCTTGAAGCTCATGGAAGTCATACAAGATATTAAATATGGATCTCACAGCACCACTACTTCATTCACTGACGTTATGCAACATATTTTTGTATTTGAAGTAAATTATTTGCTCAATTTTCTGTAGGCGACAAAACTTTTGTCTTGCCAAAATCTGACCTTTCTGTGTTCATTAAATGATCAATCTTTCTTCAGTGAAGCAAATTTATTTTAGTATATTGAGCATAATTTGGGAGGGTTTTAGCTTTCATATGAGACATTTCTAAAACCAATCGATTAATTTAAAGTCAGGTTATAAGCTTTTGTTTCTACAAAATGGATAAGCGACAAGACTTTTGTCAGGGACTGTACTGTAATAGTGAAATTATAGAGCCAAGAAAAAAAAGTTAAATAACTCAGCTAACTAACTCAAAATAGTAGAGTTATTTAACTTTTTTTTTTTTACAAAATAATTCCTCATATCTAGATTCATATATCTGATGTCTTCTGTGTGTCTAAAATTAAAGGGCCCATCTCATGCAAAATTTACTTTCTACCTTCTAAGAGTGATGTGTGGACCTCGTATATGTCGCCGAAATGTTTTTTAGATTATTTGGCAATTTTTTTTTACAAATTGCAGCGTATTTCTGCCACTCTCCCACGTGACAAGGAACTAAAGCTGCTACAACGATGACGAGGCCAACTACACCTATGACACTTTTGACGTAGCAGAAAGCGCTTCGCACCTGCCCCCCTCAGTGTATTGTTCTACACTGCCGTCCACACGATATAATAAGTTTATCTACTAGTGTTTATTAATACTTTACCAATAGTAACCAGTAATGTTCAGCTGATGCCGACGCGGTGCTTGAGCTTCATGCACCTGTAAGTCCTCGTCTGATTCCGGGTCCAGCACATGCGGCTGAACACCATGATGAATAAAAGTTTATTCCTACCGCTATCAGGGTGCACGCCTGTCTCCCCCTCCCTCCCTGAGATGGGCGGAGGAAGGGCGGCTCACTCAGAGCCTACGTCACGTTTGGAGGGTGGAGCCTGTGTTTTCTCAGGACGGGCGGGGGGATGAGCAATAGTCGGCCTTTCATAGTTCCTTGTCTGTGATGCCTCCAAGAAATCCGTAAGATTTCATAACTATTGTGTAATGGATGTTCCAAAACCCAAATTGTGCTTGTTTATGTGCAGAAGATACAATGTGAAAAGAGTTATTTTGCATGAGATGGGCTCTTTAAATAACAATAAAGAAAAAAAAAAAACACAATGAGAGCGTGTGTCCAAAATTTTGAGTTGTAGTGTAATCTTTTACCTGTCCAGCATCTTTGTCGTGGCTCTCTCCAGTTTCTCGAGGATCTGGAGCAGTTGAGCGTCGTCGTCACAGAGACCGCCCCATCCAAGCACCCGCGCCAAGTCGTTCCCCGTGCCCAGAGGAAGCACGCCCAACTGGCACTGGGCACAGGAGAGGAGAGGAAACGTCAACAAATGTTAAACAGTATGGCATTAAACGGGTCTATCTCTATGTACACACACTCATTCCCCGCAGGTCACATTAAAAACCAAAAAAAAAAAGCTCTGTATAATGGTAAATGAATGGCACATCAGCTCGAGCTAACGATGCTAATGAACTGTGGTAAATTTAATTATCGCTTTAACGACCGTTAGCTAAACATGCTAATCACTTTAAAGCATTGCCATGAAATTATTACATCCTGATTCAATTTAACACTGCATATTTTTAATTATGTGAAATTATAGCGTTATCAAAGCACTATTTCTGCCACTTGATTTTAATGGATAGAACAGGTCATGGTTTAGAGAGACCAAATGTCCCTATTTACCCAGAACAGTCCCAGTTTTGAGCCCTGTGTCCCCTGTTCCAGCAGATTTATCCAAAACCAGTGATTTGTCCCAGTTTTATACAAGAAATGTCCCAGGTGTCCCTATTTTTGAACAATCTGATCCCTGCCAACAGTAAAGAGAGGCATAAATGTGTAATTTGTTTAGGTAAAATACAGAAAAGCTGCTTAAAAATGATCAAAACACAAAGAAAATGTGACTATACTGAGTCATGTTTGTCTTCATTACGCACTTGATTCACAATTTAATCATTACAAAGCACCAAAAAACTGGGGATTTTTTGGTGGCTCCAGTTTTTTATTTTGAAATTCTGATCACCCTAGCATGGTTTCCAATCTCTTGTGTGTTAAAGGTGTACTATGAACCATTTCTAGTGGGAACTCTGCCACATGTTTGTCTCCATGAAGATGTTATTTTTTTGCAAGGAATGTTCAACAGTATGGCATTAAACTTATCTCCATGAAGATAAGAAGGTGACACCACTAGGTCAAGTTACAGGTCAAATCTGTGGTGAGTCGAAACTGCTCACAGTAAGAATGGATGTTTGTTTTTCACAGATTATATCTAAACAAAAGAATGCAAGATAGATCAATGTAATGCCATAGTTTGAAACATTCCAGTTTCCATGGTTACAAGCAGGCAGTAGATCCCCCATGACAAAAATCACATAGAGCACTTTCATACAGTTGCATACAAACAAATCAGTAACTAAAAAGTTCTTTCTTTTAGATTTTCTTCTCAAATGTCAATGTGACGTCACACTGGGGGTGTTCTACATGTATATCTATGTTAGAATGTTGAGCAGTTACCCTGGTGACATAATGCACAGATTAGCAAACACGGTGAAAAAAGTTTTAGATTGTCTGATGATTCAAGGAAAATACAAAATGGATTAAACAGCACATTTTCAGGAGCCTGTGATCAGTACGAGCATTCATGGTCCTGTTTAAGAGTTTGATTAAAACTATTGGCTAACACTAGATAGGTTGTAACTGTAATTTTATGTGTCACTTTTTTAACAACACAAATATCAGCTCACATGTTGTAGTTCCAGCTAAGTCAGTTCTTTCTGGGCAGATTGTGTTAAAACAAAGGTCACATTTAAGTCTAACAAAGCCTCAGACAAAGCAGAGCTTACAGTTAGCATCACACCCCCAGAGAATGTTGATGACATCATCTGCAAAGTATCCACAGTGTGGTGTCCATGTCTGACCTGTTTGTGGAGATTGAGTTTGTCGAGCTCGGACAGGACCCAGCCCACGCTCCCGTCTCCTCCACAAACCAGGATCCGGAACGTCACAAACTTCTGGAACAAACGAAGACTGCAACAAAACAACAGAAAAATAGGACAGGATATTTTATCAGCACAAAAACCTTCACAGTCAATCAGCTCTAAGCATTCAGCTCGTTCTTCTGGATCTGTGATTCATAAAAAGTTCCGTAATTAGATGCAGCGTGAGCACAGCCAACAGTTCAATACATAAGACGGAAACACATTTATAGGGGGTCAATATTTACCGTGTATGTACTTTTTCTTGGTATTACTGATTAATCTATGACTATTTTTTGGGTATATGATCAGATTTGAGAGGTCCAAAGTTCAAATTAATAACAAAGAAAAAAAACTATCTCATATTGAATCTGCACTTGTCTTACCCGAGCTCTGGGCCTCCGTTCATGAGGTCAAACACTTGCGCTGGATTCAGGAGCTGTTTGAACTTTCGGAGGAACTTGACTCCCTGATTATCTCCACTTTTGGAGTTGACGAGGACCAGGAGCGGGCTGGAGCAGGAAGCAGACGCGGCGTTCCAAAAACCTGAGGAAATATACAGGGTTAGGTAAAAATACTATCACATTTATTATAGCCAATGATGGTTTAAAATACAAAGGCGCGTGCAAAAAACCACTGAGACATAGGTGCTTTATGTAACTTTTTGGTTGTGGGTCCATCACCTGCTTGTTTCTATTGTCTACCTTACATTTATTTAATTACAGGTGGTTTTAGTGCTGAAAATACCTAGAAAAACAGGCATTCTCCACAGATCTGACCTGTAACTTGGTCTGGTTTGGTCTCGATGATGATAGAAAGGCTTAATACCATACACAAAACATTCCAGACAAAGCAATAACATCTACGTGAAGAAAAGCATTTGACGTATCCTCCACCAGAAAAGTTACACAATGCGTCTTTAAAGGCATTGTACCTGATTTTTACCATCTTAAAAACGTGAAAAACACAACTAGTTCATTTAAAACAGTTGCAATGGTTCAAAGTTATTCCTAACTTTTCACCTTGATGAGTTTATAAGAGCTTTTCACAACTTTCAGAAGCCAGAGTGGAGTTTTTGCATGACTATAAAGCTAAAAACAACTAGCATCTTAAAGCGCACTTCCTGATTATCAGACAGTAAAATGCATACGTAAGATTTAGACAGGACACAGTAGACGTACGCGTGGGGTGAAAAAGATGTATTATATTAAACCATCCCTTCACAATCTCTACTGAACTAAAAGGAAAGAAGAGCTGTTAACTTGAAAACTACCACTTCATGACATCACAAGTTGGAACCTTTTGAGCTTTGGAGATGTATACCGACTAATAAAGGATTACTCAAACATGTGTGAATGAAACAAAACACAACTCTAGATTTGTTTTTGAGGAGGAAACAACATTCTAACAGTTGATTGAGTTGATTTTGGATAATATAGGACATTGAATTAATCCGCAAGGGAAATTACTTGTAGGCAGTAGCTCAAACATCACAATATAATGACAAAAAATAAAACATAATTAAAATCCACAGTTTTCCTCACCGTCTGAGTCGATGCTGTTCAGGGCCGTCGGGGGGATGATGGACACTCTGCACTGACCCAAAGGACACACCTTCCCCAGCTGCTCCTTACAGCTGTTATGAACCTGTAATAACACACAGAGAACTGAGGGGGGCGCTCTCTTTACAACTTTTATGAACCTGAGTGCTAAAACAAGTAAAATGGGCCAAAAATTCCACCAGACTACGCAGGACGCCAGGCGAACCAACGCAAAGGTTCAGATGAAATACAATGTTTACAGAAGTCACGAAGAGAAGCCAGTAAGTCTTTGTGTTTTGGTAATTTCTGAGCTAAAGTTCCTCTAAAGAACTTCATGACATCATAAGGTGGACCAGAGCAATTTGAGCTTTGGAGATGACTCAAACATGTGTGAATGAAACGAAACACAACTCCAGGTCTGTTTTTGAGGAGGTAACAACATTATAGCACGGTTTAAAGCTCACAAGAGTCAGTGTTGTGTTTTTGTGGACAGATTTGAGGTGCACTTACGATGGCTTTACACCAGAGGCAGCGCCAGTCCTGCAGCCTCCTCACACTACCGCAGTTTCGATCGCAGACGGAACATTTGGCACTGACTGGCAAGTTCCCCTCCAACCACTGATGAGGCATGGACACCTGCACCGAGAGAGGGGAGAGGAGGAGAGGAGAGAGAGAGGAGAGAGAGAGGAGAGAGGGGGAGAGGAGAAAGAAGAGGAGAAAGGAGAGAGAGAAGGAGAACGGAAAGGAGTAGAGGAGTGGAGAGAGAGGGAGGGGAGGAGAAGGGAGAGTGGAGAGAGAAGAGGAGATAGGAGTGGAAAGAGGAGAGAGGGAGGAGGGGACAGAGAAGAGAGGATAGGAGAGAGGAGAGGAGAGAGGAGGGAGGAGAGGAAGAGAAGGGAGAGGAATGGAGAGAGAAGAGGAGAGAGGAGTGGAAAGAGGAGAGAGGGAGGAGAGGAGGAGAAACAGGAGTAGGAAGGAGAGGAGTGGAGAGAAAAGAGAGGAGAGAGGAGAGGAGGAGAAAGAAGAGGAGAGGAGAGAGGAGAGAGGAGGAGAGGAGCGGAAAGGAGAGGAGTGGAAAGAGGAGAGAGAGGAGAGAGGAGAGAGAGAAGAGAGAGAGAAAGAGGAGGAGAGGAGAGAGAAGAGAGGGAGGAGAAAGGAGAAGAGTGGAAAGAGAAGAGGAGAGTGAAGAGGAGAAAGGAGTGGACAGAGGAGAGGGGAGAAGAAGACGGGTTATTGATGTATTTAAAAGGTGCATTATGTAACTTTTGTCACTGACCTGTTTGTCTCCATGGAGATACTACGCTTTACCATGAACGTTGCACAGTATTATTAAATTAACATGAGATTAAACAAAGGGCATTACACTAAATCACTACAAATTGGAATTCTGATTAAACACAGATTTGGTATTTGATAGAGCTTTTTTAGTTTTAGCCTCACATCACAGTATCAGACTGGATCATTCGCCAAAAATACAGATATTTCTTGTGAAAATCCCTCCCAAACTCAAAGTCTTAACTGCAGCAAAAATAATGATGCAATCTCAGAGTTGAACCTGAAAACTGTCACGGAGATTTCAGCGCTCAGTTTCTCATCGAACATAATGAGGGACAATAAACGGCTGGATTTTCATTTTATTTTAGGGATAGAAGAAAAAAGAACAAAGGCAGATTCTGTATTCAGTATTCAGCTCTAATCTTAAAGGTGCATTGTGTAACTTTTCTAGTGGAGGATCTGTCAAACACTTTTCCACGATGGAGATGTTATTGCTTTGTCTAGAATGTTTCACAGTGTCGTGTTAAACCTTTCTATATTCATGGAGACCAAACCAGACCAAGTTACAGGTCAGATCTGTGGAGAGGCGACCCCGCTCACAGTCAGAATGCCTGTTTTTCTAGGTATTTTTGACCAATAAAAGCATCTGTAACTGAATAAATGTAAGGTAGAGCTGTTTAATGTCACACTGTGGAACATTCCAGACAGAGCATTAATGTATCCATAGAAACAAGAAGGTAACGGACCCTCTACCAAAAAGTTACAGAGTGCAGCTTTAACTTCCAATAACCTCAGTTCTTAAAAATTGGAATTGGTATTTTTTAAATTATACACAATATTTTTTTATTAATTTGTTTCTGTTTAGTTCTTGGCAGTCTGAGTCTCCCCTCCCTTTGCTCTCTGCGCTAAGTCACTCCCCCTTCAGAGCGCTATCACAACACAATCAGCATCATCCCTCTAATTAAACTACTTGCACATCGCATCAGGTTTGTGAAGTTGTAGTGTATTATTTTGTATCATGTTTTTGTATTTTTATGGAGTATGGGAGCATGGAAGATGTAGGCTTGTGAATTTGAATAGGGCCCAAGAGAGATCACTAAATTACTCAGACATGCATGGATGACATCTAAAATTTCTTCAAGCATGTTTTTGATGAGAGAACAATGTTATAACATCACAGAAAGCTCTGAACTTTGTATGACTGTGTATTTTTTCAACCACACAATTGAATTTCTAGTGCTAATAATAATCATACATAAATCACGAATGAGCTCACCCCATCCTCGTCCTCGATGATGTCATTTCCTATGGAGGCCAGCGTGGTCCATTTGCAGTTGTTTGTGGAGCGAACGGCACAACGTTTATGAGCTTTGAATTTACACACTGTAAAAAAAATATACAAACATGGGTTAATATGGTTTCACAACACTGTAAAGTCCCTATAGTTTAACCTGAGCTGGGGAAAAGGTCAGAGCTCTAAGGTGGCATTTCCTGTGTAACTGTCAAATTGCAGATTTGTTAACCTGGTTTATTGTTCAGTTCTCTGTAATTACTGGGCCTACCCACATGAAACAAAAACTGACACAACGTTTAAAGTCTTCTCTGTCTGTATAAATAAAGAAAAGTGAAATAATTTGATCACAATAGCTTCAGAAAGTGTTGCCATTATTCAACCCCAAAGACGTGACTGTTGTCAGTTGAAAGGAGTTCAAGCGTTAAGATTATGACTCTATTTCCATTTTGACTCATTCACTTACTCAAAAAGGGCACAGGGACGGAAATAGTGAAAAAAAGTATCTAATATCAATATTGAGTATTAATATAATATAATATGATATACCGTATTTTCCGCACTATTAGGGCGCTCTGGATTATAAGGCGCACTGTCACAGAATGGTCTATTTTCAAACTTTTTTCACAGATAAACTGCACTGGACTTTAAACAAAACAACAGCTAGATGGGTCAGTCGGACTTTGGGAGGGTGCTGTCTGGGACCGCTGGATTGTTGGCGTGTTCGCAGTGACTCAGTTGTTCAGTTGTGGCTAGAAGTGGGACACTGCACTCGCTTTTTCGCGTGGAGTGATGAGTGTGGCTGAGGGTGTTTGTCGCTGTGTGGTCGCTGTGCGGTCGCTGTCTGCTCCGTGTGTGTTTGCATTCACTGTGGGTGGTGCGGCTTTGTAGTTTACTGAAGTCGTGCTGGGACACCCGAGTGGATTCATGTATAGGGTGCATGTATAGGGCGCTCTGGATTGTGGAGCGCACAGTAGTTTTTAAATGGGCTTGGAGGCTTAAGAGCGCGCCCTATAGCCCAGAAAATACAGTAAGTATAATATAAGTGAATAATGCACCCAATCAGTGCATCCCTATATTTTTTCTTGAGTTTTCAGACTTTTTTTGGCTGTGTTTGCTAATGTGTACATTGTGTCACCATGATATCGAAGAGTCTGTATCGATATTGGCTAATACGTTACTGGAACGGATATCCATCCCTACGCCCATCCCTACTTGTATTGTGTCACTTTTTTCTATTTGTGTGTAAATCTGTGCGTCATGTTTTAGCTCAAGGATGTTTGTAGTTTATTTGCTCACGTTGTGTAACTTTCTCAAGTCCGAGTGTTTCACGACTTCTCACAATCACGACTCGCCCTGTTACAGAGAACCATAAAGCTGCTCTAATCTAATCTAATCTAAGAAAGACCCGAACATGAGTCACTGTGGGCTAAGAGTTCAAGGTGACCCTCATATGCATAGAAAGAGGGATGATTATACTTCTGTGGGGTCTTAACTGCTAACACAACATAGTTAGATCACCATGTTACCATTTATTTTTCTGAAAATGCTATATTCACCTGCTAATGAAATTACTGCACGTCACATCAGGTTTGTGAAGTTACAGTGTATTGTTTTGAATTATGTTTTTGTATATTTATGGAACATTATTGTGTGGGAGCATGGGTGATGTAGACTTGTGGGTGGAACCTTGTACAGAATCTTACAGCTAACTGTAAGGAGGATTTGAATAGGGCCCAGGAGAGATCACTTAATTACTCAAACATGCATGGATGACATCTAAAGCCACTTCAGACATGTTTTTGATGAGAAAACGTAACGTAACATGGTAGAATGCTGAAGGTCTTTTTACATAACAATGTATGTAAACACAGTATGATGTCTTTATAGTATTAGTAGAAGTAATGGTCGTAGTATTAGTAGTATTTTGTAGTATTAGTACCTTCACAGGAGAGTCCGTGGGAGGTGACTCCAGGCAGCGCCTCTCTGCACACGTTACAGAAGGTGGGGCGGGCGTGCGAGCATGCGTACCAGTTATGCATCCCACTGAAGTGCTCCATGTTAAACTGACTGGCCTGAAGACATGGACAGAGACAGAGAAGAGGGATCACATACATTATAATATATTATTTTTACATTTGTTTCCCCAGTAAGCCTAATTATTTCTGTTAGTCTTTGGTTGTTTATGTCCATGCACTCTCCCCTCTCCCATATCGCAGTGTGTGTCCGACAGCAGCACATCTGTCCTGGTCCTCACTTTGATCCTCCAGTCCAGTAGTGGACCCAGGACCCACAGTAATCAAAGACCTACTCCAGTGACCCAAGTGGTGAGTGACCCAACACTATTCATGGTGTTGGGTCACTCACCACTTGTGCAAGTGAGCGCAGGCAATGCAACCTAGTGTGAATAACTAAATAGTGAATAATGCACCCAGGCAGTGCATCCCAAGTTTTCAGACGTGTGCATTATGTCACCATAGTAACGGCTGAACATTCCTTCCAAAGACAAACCTCGTAAGTCTCCCACTTCTGCACAGACTTGAGCGCACTGATCCAGTCTTCCATCTCTTTCCTGCTCTCCGCACACAGCATCAACTTACGGAATGGAGTGATCACCTGGAAAACAACACAAAAAGTTCATATTTCATTAGATTTGAGATAGAAAGACTTAGGACAGCTGATGTCATCAACATTTTCCAGGGCTGTGAAGATAACTGAAGGCACTGCTCTGTCTATAAAGCTCTATTACTCAAATAAGACTTAGTCTTTGTTTTAACACAATCTGACCAGAAAGAACTGGCTTAACTGGAACTACAACAAGTGAGCTGATTTGTGCTGTTAAACAAGTCTCTTACACATAAAATTTAAGTTCTAGTTAACATTAGTAACATAAGCAACAGTTTCAGTCACTCTCAGCAACAGTCACTCTCATCATGTTGTTAAAAATCAAACTCCTAAACAGGACATTACATTTATTTTATATTTTTTCCTTGAGTTTTCAGACAATCTTACAACTTCGTGTGTGCACTGTGTCACCATGATAACTACTGAAGACATGCATGTACAACACCCCCAGCATGTCACCGTGTAAACCAGGTAAACAAATTTGCAATTTGTTAGTTAAACAGCAAATTCCACCATTCGAACTCTGACCTGCCCTCCAGCTCAGGTGAAAGGTGCATTGTGTAACATTTCTCATAGAGGGTTTGACAAATGCTTTTTTCCATGGAGATGTTATTGCTTTATCTGGAATGTTTCACAGTATGGCATTAAACCTTTCTATCTTCATGGAGACCAAACCAGACCAGTTACAAGTCAGATCTGTGGAGAGGCGACCCACTCAGAGTCAGAATGTCTGTTTTTCTAGGTATTTTTAAGCTATAAAACCACGTATGATTGAATAAATAAAGTAGAGCTGTTTAATGTCATATTGTGGAAAATTCAAGGCAGAGCAATGACATATCCATAGAAACAATCAAGTGACGGACCCTCCACCAGAAAAGTTACACAATGCACTTTTAAACTACAGGCGATGTTGTTTTGTCATGTATACATCAGTTAGTCTATACATGAGTTCTCTTTGACTTTTCTGTTCTCTGATCTCGTGACGTCAGTTTTATCAGACGCACTGTCTTTCGCTTCTGGCATTTCACGCACAGCTGTTGCATTTTTGTCTGATCTAATCTACAATCGCTGCTACACAGAGAATACCAAATATGAACAAAACTCTGAGTCTACTACTTCAATTGGTCAGATAAGCAGATTTCCCCAATGCTTAAATCACGTCACTACAAGGAATAGAAAAAAAATAAAGCCCCAGTATGTAACTTTTAGCCAAACATTTTAATAAAATAAACATGTTTTTATTTCTTTTATTTATTTATTTTTCTCCATTTTAGCTGTATTCATGGCACTGAAATTGAAATTTTCCATGGAAATGTTGTTCTTTTGGCTATAATATTTTACAGTATGACATAAAACAGATCTCCATGAATGTTAAAAAATATGGCTTTAACTTTCTGTTTCTTTCTATGGAATCATGCAGGTAACGTGCCGCCTCTAGAAAGTTGCATACTGTATCTTTAAAGAGTCTATAACACAGATTTGTTATAATGTTGTATAATCTTGTATCTTCATTAAACACACACCTTAAGTTGTGTTTTGTTTCATTCACACATGTTTAACACACAAACACAAATTCCACTTTGTGATGTCATGTGGTAATACAGGCACTGCTCCACTGTGTTTTTAAACTCCGTACACCTTCACTAGAATCACTTGGATCATTTTAGCCCTGGAATTGTCGATCTCTTCTGAACTAAGGGTAAAATGTAGACGTTAACTTGAAACCTACAACCTTCATGACATCACAAGGTGGAATAGAGCATTTTGAGCTTTGGAGATGTAGACAAACTAATAATAAAAAGTTACTCAAACATGTGTGAATGAAACAAAACACAACTCCAGGTCTGTTTTTGATGAGGTAACAACATTATAATGTGACTAAAAGCTCACAGGAGTCCATTTTGCGTAATAAATGACCTTCAAAATACATACATTTAAAATAAAAAGAAAAAAATAAAGCCATATTATGTAACTTTTAAACCAAAATAAACACATTTTCTTTTTTTCCTGTCATTTTGGTTGTTTTTATGGCACTGAAAGCCATAGAAAAACATGCATCCTTACTGTAAGTGTCCTTGCATCTCCACAAACCTCTGTGTAAATGTTATAATATTCCACAGTATGGCATTAAATATACATGTATCTGTCACTATGGAGAATGTTCCAAACTGAAAACACTCTGTTCCAGCTTGTGATGTTATTGAGATACAGAAAGCAGTCCCATGTATTTTGTAGCAGTGAAATTGAGACTGCAAATAGCTGTCAACTACAAAACTACCGCTTGATGACATCACAAAGTGAAACAGAGCATTTTGAGCTTTGGAGATGTAGACAGACAGATAAAAAGTTATTCAAACATGTGTGAATGAAACAAAACACAACTCCAGGTCTGTTTTTGAGCAGGTAACAACATTCTAACAGAACTAAAAGCTCACATGAGTCCATTTTGTGTAATATAGGACCTTTACATAACCAAGGAATACAATAAAAACGATGAGATATAATTAAATGCGAAATATTTCTGTACCGTGAAGCTGTTGTTGATGTTCTTGGTGCTGGTTTCGGCCACACTGGCGTCCGACAGATCCACCTCATCAAAAATCAGCGACTGGAACAATAAAACAGTGATTTTTAATACAGATATGCAGTGGTGTGGGTGTGGGTGCAGATAATAACACAAGCTATGGAACGTTATTAGTGAGTGGAAACATTATATGACTATCAATGGTGAGTAATGACATTTTCTCCAGTAAAAACTCAAAACACAACTAAAATATGAAAAAGCTGCAGCACATGAATGACAAATATAAAATTCTACAACTCTTTCATTTGTAACTGACATTTAAAATAAGAAAATCAAGTAAACAGTAGTACAAAAGCAGCAAAAGTATGACAGGTTTTGAGGTTTCTATGATTTTTACTTTGAATTGCTACGGGACTTTTTTGGTGGAGGGTCTGTCAAATGCTTTTCTTCATGTGGATGTTGTTGCTTTGTCTGGATGAATGCTTCACAGTGTGGTATTAAACCTTTCTATCTTAATCGAGATCAAACCAGACCAAGTTACAGGTCAGATCTGTGGAGAGGCGACCCCACTCACATGCCTGTTTTTCTAGTATGTAATGTAAGGTAGAGCTGTTTAATGTCATATTGTGGAATATGGAGGCAGAGCAATGGCTTATAAAGGCAAGGCAAGGCAAGTTTATTTGCATAGCACAATTCATACACAAAGTAATTCAAAGTGCTTTACAGAATAAGAAATCAAAGGTAAATAAAGGTAATGTATCCAAAACCAGAAAGTTACAAAATATGAATTAATTTGTGAAGAAAAGTGTGTTGACAATTAGACTGGAGTACATCACACTAGGGAGAAATTTATCTAAAAGTTCAGCACAGTTTACATGGAGGAACTTTTTTTTTTCTAATACTTTAAAGATTATTTCAACAAAATAAAGATGATTTCTTAATTTTTTATAGCCTATGTCACATGAGTATCCCAGTTATGATCGGGTTTTTTGAGTATCCTGGTTTCATCATGGTGCATGTATACAGTTTCAGTATCCCGGTTATGGCAGTATCCCGATTATGAGAAACCGGGATACTGTAGCTGGTATTTCCCGAAAGTAACCGGGATACTGATGTACATGTCTACAGACTCATTAGAGAAGTTTTGCACTACGCTATGACATGGTTTCTAGTAACATTTAAGAAATTCTAATGGAGGTAAAATTTTAAACCTGAGAAATTGCCAAACTAGGGAATAAAGTGTCCGATATTTAGTAAAACCTTAAATATCTTAATTAATTCAATAATTCTTAATTGTGTTTTAGTCAAATGTGTAGTCCAATCTGGATTTAAAGGCTGATCTGATCTATGTTATAATGTTGTTTCCTCATCACAAACATACTTGGAGTTGAGTTTTGTTTCAGTCACAAACCCTGCGTATCCAGGATAAGTTTTTTCTCTCAAATAAAACAAAAAACTCTTTGTTCCACCTTGTGATGTCATGTATTAATACAAGAAAAGCTCCACTGTTTTTTTTAAACTCCATACACCTTCACCAGAATCATTTGGATCATCTCAGCCCTGGAATTGGCAATTTCTACTGAACTTAAGGTAATAGGAGCTGTTAACATGAAAAATGCCGCTTGACATTACAAGGTGAAAAAAACATTTTGAGCTTTGGAAAAATAAATAAACTAACAAGGCAGGATTACAGAACACAACTCCAGGTATGTGTTTGTTGAGGTAACAACATTCCAACATGGCTTAAAGGTCTTGAGAGTCTAATTTGCATGATCGCTATCTGTGTATGTGCAGTCTAAACCTGTGTATTGTATTGTATTGTATTGTATTGTATTGTAGTACCTTGCAGTCTTTGGCGTAGTACAGCGTGCGTCCTCTCAGCTTGAAGTACCTCCTCTTCCATCTCTGAAACGAGCTGGTCTGTTTGAGCAGGATTCCCTCTTTGACGCTTTTCTGTCAACAAAAAACACAACAATCATCAGCAGAGTTTTCATTAAACAGGGAGAGTGCACTGCAAAAACAAAGACTCGAGTGTTTGGGCCCTGAATGGTTTTCTGTGCGTTACCGCGACAACAGGGCACACTCTGAAGCTAGCCTGAGGTGTGTGTGTGTCAGCTGAGAGCTCTCCACACACTCACACAACACTAATGTAAAGCACTCAGTCATCAGAGGGAATTTTTACAGTGTTTCAGAGGCTATAAAATCTTCAAGTGGCCCTACTGAATGCAAATAATAAAAAATAAATAAATAAATAATGAAAGTCAAAAAAGGAAAACTACAATAAAAAATATATATATTATTATTATTATTATTATTATTATAATAATAATAATAATAATGATAATAATAATAATAATAATAATACATACATACATACATACATACAAAATTGGAACGAAAACACAAATGAAATGAAAACACACAAATACAAAAATATATAAACAAATTATAATAAATACAGAAAATTTAACAAAACTAAAGTTTGTTCATCGTGTCATGTTTACAATCATTAAACAATACTTAAAGGTACAGTATGTAACTTTCCGGAGGTGGCATGTCACCTGCATGATTCCACGGAAAATAAAGGAAAGTTAATGCTATACTTTGGAATGTTCTCCATGGACATACAGATGTTTTATGCCATACTGTGGACACCATTTCCATAGAAACAAGCGGGAGAGTCAGGTTTGTGGAGATACAAGTCCACGCAGTTCAATGTTAATAAATTAATAAATAAATAAAATGTGGTTAAACTCTATGTGTATCACATAAAAAATAAAAATTAAAAAATCATGAAAAGATTGAGAATCTGAGTACAGAGCAGTGGGCATGTCTGACGAGTATTTACTTATTCATGGATTTACTTTGAAAATATTTTTTGGCAAAGGAAAGGGTGGCTACTTTGAGGATTTGAATATGGTACTACTAATTCCTAATATCTTACTTCATATATTTGATGTCTTCTGTACTATCTAAAAAGGTAGTAGTGGTGGTGGTAGTAGTAGCAGTTGTAGTAATAGTAGTAGGTGTGTCCAAACTTTTGACTGGTAGTGTAAATATGAAAACACATTTCTAGCCCTGAAATCCACGAAATCCTTTATTCATTTAGCAGTTTGTTCAGATCAAAACTGTTCCACACTGCAGCTTTAAATATTAAATCCAGACAATGAAGGAACCCATTATTACATGTTGACATCATTCTATCTCCATATATGGTAAGGAATGAAAACTGGATTTAAATAACAAAATGATGCAATTACTTAAGTGTTTCTAAAAATAGTTTGAATGGGAATAATAGCGGCAATTATCAAAACACTGAATCAAAACATTACCCAACAATAACTTCCTGTTTTGGATCTGTTTTATGGTGAATATCTCTGTAATTATTACTGGGCCTATCCACATGAGACAAAGGCACCTTCTCAGCCAGTATAAATAAACAAAAGTAGAATTATTTTCTTTACAATAGCTTCAGGAAGTGGTGCCATTATCCAACCCCAAAGGCGTGATTGTTGTGGCTATTTATTTTCTGATTTGTGTTATAATCTTGTTACCCCATCACACACATACCTGCAGTTGTGTTTTGTTTCATTCATGTTTAACACACACACCCTGCATATTTAGTCTAAGTTTTTCTCTCAAATTAAAAACACTCTGTTCCATTTGTGTTGTAAAATAGGAAGCGCCCCAGTAGCCACATTTACATGATGTTTTTTTTTAATTCCAAGTGAATTATTTTGAATTAAATAGTTCGGAATTAAAATATTCTCCTTCGAGTTTACAGGGATATAATGATTCAGAATTAAGGTTTACATGGAAAACACGTTAAATTTTGTTTATTTAATTCCGCTCAACGTCTGGGGGTCTTGAAGGGTTCTGATTGGACACAAACGTATTTACGTCTACCAGAAGAAAACTGCACACTTCAGCTGCTGCCGGCTTGCTTTTTTGTCATCTCAGTTTGTCGTTACACATGGAGATACGTCAGGGGTCTCCAACCTGTAGTTCGGGAGCAACCAGTGGCTCTCCATCCCTTTCCAAGTAGCTTGCCAAGGGATTTCTGAATTATACGTATTGTCTCGAATAACTCAAATTTGACTTATTACAATTGCAAATGTGTTATTTTGAATTTTGTGTTCTAATAAATGAATAATGGTTTTAGGTTTTAGAGGCGTCTAACTGTACAACATTAAGGCTCTCCTTCTTATATCCACTCAATTTACTGCGATCACTAAAATGAGCTGTCCGGCCTTTTCGTTTTGTAAAGGTAGCTCGCCGGATGCAAAAGGTTGGAGATCCCTGAGATACGCCCATATAAACTTGGGTCCAAACCCAAACTCCTGAACCAACGGGAGCAGCTCCGGTTCAGGTTGTGCCCAGGTGAGCTGGAGTGGGGAGTGGTGTCACATGTCTCGGCCTGAGAAGCGCTTTCCTCAGGAAGACGAACCGCTCAGAACAAGATATAAGCAATCGCTGAACAACCAGAATTATTTTTTAAGAGGAATAAGCGTTTATATGATCGCGGAGTAATCGCCAGACTTTAAAATTGGAATACACCACCCACTTAATTCGGATTTACCGTATTTTCCGCACTATTAGGCGCTCTGGATTATAAGGCGCTACTGTCATAGAATGGTCTGTTTTCGAACTTTTTTCATTAAAAAAACTGCACCGGACTTTAAACGAAACACAACAGTTGGATGGGTCAGTGGGACTTTGTTTGGTGCGTTCACGGTGACTCTGGGCTTTGTTCAGTTGTGGGGTCGTGTAGGGAGGGTGCTGTCTGGGACCAACGGATTGTTGGCGTTTTCGCAGTGACTCAGTTGTGGCTAGAAGTGGCACATTTCACTTGGTTTTTTGGTTCATTCCTCCTGCTCCGTGCATGTTTGCGTGCGTGTGGGTGATGTGGTTTTGTAGTTTACCGAAGTCGTGCTGGGACACCCGAGTGGATTCATGTATAGGGCGTTTGTTGTTTTTTGATGGGGTTGGAGGCTTAAGAGTGCACCCTATAGCCCGGAAAATACGGTAAGTTTAATTCCGATTAATCTAAATTAAATGAAGGAATTCATTGTTTACATGGTCTTTTAGCGGAATTACTTTTTATTCCGAATTAAATTATGTATAATCGGAATGTAAACGGGGGCAATTGTGTTTTTAAAATCCACTTCAGAATGACCCTGGATTGACAATCTCTAGTGAACTAAAGATGGAACAGAGCATTTTGAGTTTTGGAGATATAGACAGACTAATAATAAAAGTTACTCAAACATGTGTGAATGAAACAAAACACAACTCGAGGCGTGTTTTTGAGGAGGTAACAACTTCTAACATGGCCTAAAGCTCACAAGAGTCAATTCTGCGTAATCTAAGAAGTTTGTAAAGCCATTCCCTAACAAATCATGAGAAGGTTCAACATTTGTGGATCAGAAGTTGGGAGATTTCTTTCAAAAACTCTGAATCTCCCATAGATTTACACAAGCCTCCGTCTGAAATCATGATGTAACGCCGAAGAAGTCATGAGCGCGTCCCAGCACATACCACGGAGATGACAACATTTTATGAGGTAACGTTCAGTCTACGCTGCCACTCATCTGAAAGTCTGAAGGTGAAATTACGCAAAAGGTTTTTACTACGGTATAGACATTACACAACAAGGAAACAAGAGTGACAGAGGTACTGGTCATTTTATCTCAGTGTCTGGTTTCTGAACAACCAAAGGAGTCTATTTCAGGTTTTGAACACGGAATGGACGAACCAACACAAGAATCACATTTCAGAACAAGTTTGTACAGATCTAAACTACAGGGTAAGGAGTTTTATGCAGAAAACGAGGAGGAGGACATGATTGCGATGGCACTCCAAAAACTGCAGACTCAAACTGTGCTTTAAACTGATTTCAAAAACAGTTGGTGGTTTTCAGTTTTGACCAGGGAACTGAAATTGCAATTTGAACGGAAGCAAGCGGCAAATCACAAAAAAATAAGAAGTAATTTAACACAATTTCCTTTAAGTAACAAAAATGGTGTGTCAAATTTAGATCTATGCAAACATGTTCTGAAATACCTGGGATTATTTTATGGTTCAGATGAAATTCTCTCGTATTTTAAAAGATGAACTCTATTGCTTTATTACTTTATCGCTTTGTGAACTTGTCTCCATGGAGATGTCATGGCTTTGTCTGAAATCGTCCACAGAAAGGCTCTAAACCTTGACCTTAATCTAACAACCCGCAGGTCAAGTTCTGAAGATTTTTACGATAGAAATTACACAACATGGCAACAAGAGTGACAAAGGTGCAGTACTTATCTTGTACTTATTTCAAACGAATACAACAGTCACATTTCAGAGCAGTTTTTGTGCAGAATAAAACAGGAGAAGTTGTTGTTTGAGGAGGAAATTATGGTACTTCCTTTGCAGTGATTTACTAATTAGGCCAATTCAAATTGAGATTTTGAGTCCAAGTCCAAATTCCCCTATGTAAACGTCTCAAAGTGAAGCCAGTTGTTTTTGGCAGGAGCAGACTCTCTGATCTCTCTCTCTTCCTCTCTTCCTCCAATGTTTCCTCAATCTCTCCCTCTCTACACCCGCTCTCTCTCCTCTATCCCCCCCTTCTCTCTACAATGTTTCCCCTCTCTCTTTTCTCTCTCTCTCCTCTCCCCCCTCTATACTGTTGTTCCCTCTCTTTCACCCTCTCTCCTCCCTCTCTCTCATCTGTCCCATCTCTCGCCTCCCTCCCTCCTCCTTTTCCCTTCTCTCTTCTGCTATATTGATCCCTCTGTCGTTCTCTCTCCCTCTCTCCTGCTGTGTTGTTCCCTCTCCTTCCCCTCTGGGTCTCGCTCTCTCTCTCCCTCCCTCTCCTCCCCCTTCTCTCCCTCCGCTCTCCTGCTGTGTTGTTCCCTCTCTCCATTCTCTCCCCTCTCCTCCCTCTCTCCTACTGTGTTGTTCCCTCTCTC